TTAATTTTGTTTTTTTAAAAAATCCTCAGGAAATTAGGAGAAGAAGGGGGGTTCTTTGGAGCACTTCCCTGGTGGTCCATTGGTTAAGAATCCACCTGCCAATGCAAGGGACCCGGGTTCAATCCCTGGTCCAGGAAGATTCTACCTGCCAATGCGCAATTAAGCCCATGTACCACTACTGAGCCCACGCTCTCAAGCCCACGAGCCACAGCTATTGAGCCCTCGTGCCACAACTGCTGAACGCGGTGTGCCTAGAGCCCGTGCTCCACAAGAGAAGCCAACAGAATGAGAAGCCCAGAACTCACCACTGGAAAGTAGCCCCCACTCACCACAACCAAAGAAAAGCCCATGCACAGCAATGAAGACCCAGAACAGCCAAAAATAAGTGAATTCATTTCTTTTTAAAAGAAGGGTGATTCCTCAACCTGATAAAGAACATCTGCAAAAAGGTTACAACTCACATCATGCTTAGCAGTAAGGCAGATAGCTTAGTTGCCCCACTGAGATGTGAGGCTCTTTTAACATATGAAAATTAGTCAGTGTGATACACCACATCAAAATGAAACATCAAAATCACATGTTTATCTCAACAGGTGCAGAAGAAGCATTTGACAACATTCAACTTCCATTCATAATAAAAATTTTCAACAAAGTAGATGCAAAAGGAAATTTCCTCAACATAATAAGGCCATTTATGAAAAGTCACAGCCAACATCATAAACAATGGGGAGAAAACAGAAAACTTTTTTTCTAAGATTCGATACAAGGCAAGAATGCTCACTCTTGCCACTTCTATTTAACACAGTACTAGAAATACTGTAAATATCAATCAGACATAAAAAATGGATAAAAGGCATCCAAATCAGAAAGGAGGAAGTAAAATTCTCACTGTACAGTGACATGATCTTATACATCGAAAACCCTAAACACGCGCACACACACACACATACACACATATCTTAGGACTATTAAACAAATTCAGTAAAGTTGCAGGATAAAAAATTCATGCATAAGAAGCAGTTGTGCTTCCAAAAGCAGACACGCAGATCAACCGAACAGAAAAGAGAGCCCAGAAATAAATCCATGCACTAAGACAAAGGAAGCAAGAATAAAAAAAGGAGAAAAATCAGCCTCCTCAATAAGTGGGTGCTGGGGAATCTGAACAGCTATTTGTAAAAGAATGAAATTAACATTATATATGAAACTAACACCATATACAAAAATAAACTCAGACTGAATTAAAGACCTAAATGTAAGACTGACTGGAAACCATAAAATTCCTAGAAGAAAATAAAGGTAGAACAAACACCTTGGACATAAATAGTAGCATAAATAGTAGCAATATTTTTTTTGGATCTAATTCCTAAAAGCAAAGGAAATAAAAGCAAAACTAAACAAAAAAACTCAAAAGCTTTTGTACAGCAAAGTGAAAGTGAAAATCGCTTAGTCGCTTGTCTGACTCTTTGGGACCCATGGCCTATACAGTCCATGGAATTCTCCAGGTCAGAATAATGGAGTAGGTAGCCTTTCCCATCTCCAGGAGATCTTCCCAACCCAGGGATGAAACCCAGGTCTCTGGAATTGCAGGCAGATTCTTTAGCAGTTGAGCAAAGGAAACCATCAATAAAACAAAAAGGCAACCATTTGCAAATGATATGATTGATAAGGGGTTAATACCCAAAATACTAACCCCTTATGTTGAGCTCATACAACTTAACATAAAAAAAACAAACAACCTAATTTTTAAAATGAGGCAGAAGACCTAAATAGATATGTTCCCAAAGAAGACATACAGATGTCTGACAGACATATGAAAAGATGCTCAACATCGTTAATCATCAGAGAAATACATAGTAAAACTATAATGAGATATCACCTTACAATGACTATCATTAGAAAAACCACAAATATCAAACGTTGGTGAGGATGCAGAGAAAAGGAACCCTTGTACTGTTGATGGAAATGTAAATCAGTGTAGCCACCGTGGAAAACAGTATCGAGGTTCTTCAAAAAATTGAAAATAGAATTGTCGTATGATTCAGAAATTCTGCTTCTAGGTATATAGTAAAAGGATAGAAAATCACTATCTCAGAAAGGTATCTGTACGCTCATATCCACTGCAAGATTATTTACAATAGCCAAGAAGTGAGAATCAGGGACTTTCTGGCAGTCCAGTGGTTAAGACTCTGCACTCCCAATGCAGAGACATAGATTCAATCCCTGATCAGGGCACTAAGATCCCTCATGCCATGCAACTTGTCAAAAAAGGAAAAAAGAGGTGGAATCAACCCAAGTGTCCATTGATGGTTGAATGGATAAAGAAAATATGGTTGACATTAATATACCAATAAATATCAAGGAGAGGAAATTCAGCCACAAAGATGAAGAAAATCCTGCCTTTTGCAATAACAAGGATAGACCTTAAAGGCTTTATACTAAGTTAAATAAGTCAGACACATGATCTCATCTATATGTGGAATCTAAAAATCCAAACTCATAGACACATATTGGTTGTTGCCAGAGGTGGGGTTTTAGGAGGTGGGAAAAATGGGTGAAAGTGGTCTAAAGGTACAAACTCCCAGTCATACATAAATAAGTCTGGGCATGTAACGCATTGTTAACTAAATAGTTACAGTCAATCATGGTGACTATAGCTAACAATATTGTATTGTATATTTGAAATTTGCTAAAAGGAATAGATCTTAAAAGCTATTATCGCAAGAAAAAAAATGTAACTATGTGAGGGGATGGCTGTTAACTAAACTTACTGTGGTAATCAGTTGGTAAGATATACATATATCAAATTATTAGTTTGTATAGCTAAAATGAATATCAATAAAATGTTATATCTCAATAACACTGTGGAAAGGGGGCGAAGGGAGTCACCATAATCCAATGTAAGTACTAGAAGAACTTAAATAAACTGAATACTAAAACCTCAGATATGCAGATGACACCACCCTTATGGCAGAAAGTGAAGAACTAAAGAGCCTCTTGATGAAAGTGAAAGAGGAGAGTGAAAAAGTTGGCTTAAAGCTCAACATTCAGAAAACTAAGATCATGGCATCTGGTCCCATCACTTCATGGCAAATAGATGGGGAAACAGTGGAAGCAGTGTCAGACTTTATTTTTGTGGGCTACAAAATCACTGCAGATGGTGATTGCAGCCATGAAATTAAAAGACGTTTACTCCTTGGAAGGAAAGTTATGACCAACCTAGATAGCATATTAAAAAGCAGAGACATTACTTTGCCAACAAAGATCTGTCTAGTCAAAGCTATAGTTTTTCCAGTAGTCATGTATGGATGTGAGAGTTGGACTATAAAGAAAATTGAGTGCTGAAGAATTGATGCTTTTAACTGTGGTGTTGGAGAAGACTCTTGAGAGTCCCTTGGACTGAAAGGAGATCGAACCAGTCCATCCTAAGGGAGATCAGTCCTGGGTGTTCATTGGTGGGACTGATGTTGAAGCTGAAACTCCAATACTTTGGCCACCTGATGTGAAGAGCTGGCTCATGTGAGAAGACTCTGATGCTGGGAAAGATTGAGGGCAGGAGGAGAAGGGGACGACAGAGGATGAGATGATTGGATCGCATCACCGACTCAATGGACATGGGTTTGGGTGAACTTTGGGAGTTGGTGATGGACAGGGAGGCCCGGCATGCTGCAGTTCATAGGGTCGCAAAGATTTGGACACGACTGAGTGACTGAACTGAAAACCCCAAAATGTCCAACTTCCGGCAGGAATTCTTTTGTTGACATATTTTAACTAAAATATATGTCAATATCCACTTGTAGAATATGGTGTTAGAAAATACTCTTGTTGGTTCAGAAAATGAAGATATGTTGTTTTAAACATAAAAACAAAAGAAAAATGTTTACGTTGAAAAATAAAAAAGAAATGGTGATTTACATATATACAACAGGAATACTACTCAGTATTTAAAACCGAGATCCTGTCATTTGCAACACCAAGGACGAAACTGGAGGGCATCAGCCTTGAGTGAAATAAGCCAGACATAAAAAGTAAAAAACTTTGCATAATCTCACTTATCTTTAGAATCTAAAAATGTCAAACACATAATAGCAGAAAGGAGAATAGTTATTACCAGGAAGGGGAAACGAGGGTGATGGGGAGATAATAGTCAAAGGATACAAAGCTGCAGTTACGCAGGAAACGCAGAGTAAGTCTAGAGATCTAACCTACAACACGATGACTAACAGCACTGTATTGAATGCTGGAAATTTACTAAGAGAGTAGATTTAAGGTACTCTCACCACATTGGTTTTTTTTTTTTTTTTTTTTTAGTCCATCAGTCGCGTCCGACTCTTTTGCGACCCCAAGGACTGTGTAGCCCTCCAGGCTCCTCTGTCCATGGGACTTTCCAGGCGAGAATACTGGAGTGGGTTGCCATTTCCTACTCCAGGGGAGGTTGCTAAGTCACTTCAGGGGAGGTTAAAACCACCCAAAAGCACACCGCGCATAGTGGTGTGCTGTGTTTTTTCGGGCACGAGGTGGCAGCAACTCTCCCAACTGCCCACGCACGTACAATTTTGCTACCGTAATCTCAGTTTAAATAGGAGAACAGAACACCTGAGTCCTGTGTTCCCCTTCCACTTTCTCCTTCGGGTGGGCTGTACTGGGTCTCATTAACCGAGCGGTTTTTCAAAGCTCTTCCGGCAGCGACGATGGAGACCGCGAGTTCTCGCGAGATCGCCGCCGGAAGCGGGTGGCTGAGGAGGCTCAGAGACTCCTCTCCCCGGAAGCCGTTCGTTTCTTCGGAGCTGCTGCAGCGGTCCGCCCCGTGGTGCTCTACCCAGAGAAAGAGCTCACCGGACGCGGCCCTTCCCAGCGCCGAGCTCGCCCCTTCGGCTTCCCCAGCTGTACGAAGGCGCGGCCCAGCCGACAGAGCCGCCGAAATCCCCGGCTCCTCCCTCCCTCCGTCTGCGCTGCAGTTAGGCCGCGCCCAGAGGCCCAGTCCGCGGCAGCTCCGGCGTGTGATGCCAAATACAGCCATGAAGAAAAAGGTGCTGTTAATGGGGAAGAGCGGGTCGGGGAAGACCAGCATGAGATCGATTATCTTTGCCAATTACATCGCTCGCGACACCCGGCGCCTGGGTGCCACCATTGATGTGGAGCACTCCCACGTCCGATTCCTGGGCAACCTAGTGCTGAATCTGTGGGACTGTGGCGGTCAGGACACCTTCATGGAAAATTACTTCACCAGCCAGCGAGACAACATCTTCCGTAATGTCGAGGTTCTGATTTATGTGTTCGACGTGGAGAGCCGCGAACTGGAAAAGGACATGCATTATTACCAGTCGTGTCTGGAGGCCATCCTCCAGAACTCTCCTGATGCCAAAATCTTCTGCCTGGTGCACAAGATGGATCTGGTTCAGGAAGATCAGCGTGACCTGATTTTTAAAGAGCGAGAGGAAGACCTGAGGCGTTTATCTCGCCCGCTGGAGTGTGCTTGTTTTCGAACATCCATCTGGGATGAAACGCTCTACAAAGCCTGGTCCAGTATTGTCTATCAGCTGATTCCCAATGTCCAGCAGCTAGAGATGAATCTCAGGAATTTTGCCCAGATTATTGAGGCCGATGAAGTTCTGCTGTTCGAAAGAGCCACGTTCTTGGTCATCTCCCATTACCAATGCAAAGAGCAGCGTGATGTCCACCGATTCGAGAAGATCAGCAACATTATTAAGCAGTTCAAGCTGAGCTGCAGTAAATTGGCCGCTTCTTTCCAGAGCATGGAAGTTAGGAATTCTAACTTCGCTGCTTTCATCGACATCTTCACATCAAACACGTACGTGATGGTGGTTATGTCGGATCCGTCGATCCCTTCTGCGGCTACTCTGATCAACATTCGCAATGCCAGGAAACACTTTGAGAAGCTGGAGAGAGTGGATGGTCCCAAGCACAGCCTCCTTATGCGTTGAATATTGCCAAAATGCGCTCTCTGAAAATGCTCAATTGCCTTTCTCCTTTTTTTTTTTAATATTCATAATGTTGTGTGCTTATAAGTGGGCTTTGAAATGTGTGCTGCTTATCATTTTCATCTCTTTCTTCCCTTCTCCCCACTCTTTTGGACGCTATTTACTCAGTTATCCAGTAGAGCTTTAAGATGGCCTTTCTGAAAAGTTGGTATGGGGTAACACTAAAGTAGGTGGTGGTGTATGTGTGTATGTGTGTTCTGATTACCTGGTTATAGTAGATATACACATCAAAGCCTTTACAATATCTTCTGTATTCCTTACAAGGTTGCAAAGATGGAATGTTATTTTATCAGCAAGGTATTAAAACGCATTTATAAATTCTTCCTGGCTTCAATCGTGAATAAACATTTGCTGTTAGCAGTTTAAAATATGGTCTTATTTGAAATAATTTGAAGGTGGTTAATATTAAAGCTGTAGATTCTGACTGCCCACAGGTATTGCTTAACTGGTAAATTTGATTGTGTGACCTTGGCTCCCCCATCGCCTTAAGGATGTTACTTAGCAACTGCAGCAGTGTGGTTAAGAGAATGGTCTCTGGAGCTAGATCACCTGAGCTGAGTTAGTATTCTAGTATTAGTATTCTGAGTTAGTATTCTAGCACTAGAATTCTAGGGCCTTCACTTACTATCTCCATGAACTGAGCGAAGTACTTAATTTTACTGTGTTTGTTCCCTTATTTGTAAAATGGGGTTAAGAATAGCACTACTTCATTGGATTAAAACAATATGGAAAGCATTTAGAATAGGGCCTGGCACATACTAATGTGTCAGCTGTCAATACTACCTACTGAGCCATTCTTCCCCCCCCATTGCCAAATTACTGGATGTGAAGCCTAGCAAAATATGAGCTACCTACTAAATCCCAGGCATTCTTAAATACTTAATGTGCATTTTCTTATCTAACCTTCATAATTGGTGAGGCAGATTACTTTTGTCTCTGTTAACAGATGAGAAAACTGCCATGACCTTATTAAGGTCATACAGTTGCAACTTAGGCAGTGAAATTGCAGATCCTCCCCCCTTACATGTCACTACTTCCTCCATTGACAGAAAAGTTAAATCATAAAAATCATAGCTTTTTAGCTATACATTATTCCTTCATATAATTTCCCAAATTTCATAGATTGTGTAAACTGAAGCCTAGTAAGTTAAGTGACTGCTCTTAAAGAATAGTGTTTCACCTTAGGCAAGATCATTTTCCCATCTGTATTTATCTGGAAATTGAATAATTTTCAATCCGATTCTTAGATTACATACTTTCAGGGAAGAAAGGTTCCTGTTTTGAGTTGGCAATGTGATATAGTGAAATAAAAAAGACCTAAAATGCCCAGTTTCAGCTGCCTCAAATATTGTTTCAAATGAAACCTAAATATCTTAGAGACAAAACACCTCTTCTCACCTCTCATTTTACAAATGAGGCATTATATATACAGACATGAAATATAAGTGATAGGGAATTTCCAAACCTTTATAAAGTTATTTAACATTTATTAAATCCTTTATAGCAGTAACTGGATAACAAGGTCCCTACCTATGAAGAGCAAGAAGCTATTCGGACACATTATTAAACTAATAGTATACAGATGTACTTTTAAGTCATTTTAAATTCCACATTTAATAATCTAGAGCTAGGTGGTAATAAGAATGTTTATTCAAGACTGCAGTATGTAAAACATTTACAAATAGTCCCATGGAGGACTCACAGATATTTTAAATTTAGGATGTGGCTTTGACATTGACAGTGCATAAGGAGAAAGGTATATCAACTATATATTGGCAACAATGTGGAAGAGAATTCTACTTTAGCAAATACTTTTACACTAAGGACAATGTCCTTAAAACATATTTCATTTTAGTATACTTAGGGGAAAAAACAGTGATTCCTTCTATATAGTTCTCAAGGATTAAGTAAAATTTACTCCAAAGATCATGGTTAAGAAATACATGGTAAAGAATGGTTTCAAAATACTTGTATTTTTGTTTTCAATTAAATTCCCCCAAATTGATTTTCTTTAACATGATACAGTCTTTATTCCACTTGATAACAGTTTTCATGTTGAGCAATATTATATGCTTGTCCTCTAAGCATTTAAAATAATTAGGACATATAGGCATTATCTTAAGTTTCATACTAATACTGAAGTCAGTTTATACACCTTCATCTTATGAATAGTGAATAAAAGTACATTCTGTTGTAAATATAATGAGAAAAAGTACTCTTAGAGCAATAAAGTAGCCCTCCCTCTTTACCATTACTTTAATTCCATCATACAGAAGGCAAAGGAAACAATTCCAACACTTCAGTATCAGCTAAGAAAGAGGGTATGTATGGACACACCCCACACACACATCTACATAGGTATATGTGTATTTAATCAGTACAACTGGAGAAATCACAACCATGAAAAAATATGATAAAAGCAATAAATGAAAAATACTAAGTGAACAAAAATTAGCATAAGCTATAGGGGATTTTAGAGGGACAGGACCATGGATAAGGAAAGAGATATGACTTCAAGGTGAATGTGAGATTTGTTCTGAACCTTAAAGGACAAAGGGCTTCCCTGGTGGCTCAGCTGGTAAAGAATCCGCCTGCAATGAGGGAGACCTGGGTTCAATCCCTGGGTTGGGAAGATCCCCTGAAGAAGGAAACAGCTACCCACTTCGGTATTCTGGCCCGGAGAATTCCATGGACTGTATAGTCCATGGGGTCCCAAAGAGTCAGATAAGACTGAGCGACTTTCACTTTCTAAAGAACAAATATAATTGTGATAAGCTGGGAGATGAAACTAGGATATTTCAGCTTCAAAATTGTGAATTAAGATTTTTAAAGGCACACTTTTAACGTGCTGACCAAAGCACTTCAGTAAAAATACAGAAAATAGAGGGGAGACTATAGTGGAAGGGGGAATAGAGGAATCTATGGAGGGAACCTTGTATGCCTTTAAATTTGAACTCGATTCTGGAATTACCATTTTAAACAAAATGGTATGATCAAAGCAGTCCCTTAAGGACAAAAGGCATGTATGCAGGCAATAACGGACAAGGAAGAGACTGAAAGCAATAAGTCATAATCAAAATCGTTTATGAGAAAGTGACATTTAATATACTTTTGTTTATACAACTAGCATACAAAGGACAGGGAAGAATGCCAAAAACTCTCAGCCTATCCCAGGTATGACTCATTTAACAATGTGGTTTTTGTAAATCCATTAATATCTAGAGATATATGATCTTCGGATTCTCAGCAATTTAGGGCCTACACTTACTGGTAAGCTTCAGCTTCCTTTCAGTTCAGTTCAGTTCAGTCACGCAGTTCTGTCCGACCCTTTGCAACCTCACAGACTGCATGCACCACGCCAGGCTTCCCTGTCCAGCACCAGCTCCTGGAGCCTCCTCAAACTCATGTTCATTGAGTTGGTGATGCCATCCAATCACCTCATCCTCTGTCATCCCCTTCTCCCACCTTCATCTTTCCCAGCATAGGGATCTGTTCCAATGAGTCAGCTCTTCACATCAGGTGGCCAAAGTATTGGAGTTTCAGCTTTAGCATCAGTCCTCCCAATGCATATTCAGGACCGATCTTATAGGATGGACTGGTTGGATCTTCTTGCTGTCCAAGGGACTCTCAAGAGTCTTCTCCAACACCACAGTTCAAAAGCATCAATTCTTCAGCACTCAGCTTTCTTGATAGTCCAACTCTCACATCCATATAGACTACTGGAAAAACCATAGCCTTGACTAGTCAGACCTTTGTTGGCAAAATAATGTCTGCTTTTTAATATACTGTATAGGCTGGTCATAGTTTTTCTTCCAAGGAGCAAGCATCTTTTAAGTTCATGGCTGCAGTCACCATCTACAGTGATTTTGGAGCCCAAAAAAATAAAGTCAGTCACTGTTTCCATTGTTTCCCCATCTATTTTCCATGAAGTGATGGGACCAGATGCCAAGATCCTAGTTTTCTGAATGTTGAGTTTTAAGCCAACTTTTTCACTCTCCTCTTTCACTTTCATCAAGAGGCTCTTTAGCTCTTCACTTTCTTCCAAACAGCTTCCTTATCAAACAGCTAAGATCTATAAAGCAGTATGGTGTGAATAGTGTATCTAGCTTCTTTAAGATACCCCAGGACTAAAGGTGAATCTATATGCCCTGGCACTGACTCTCATGCTTCTTATTGAGCCTAACAATTACCAGGGAAGCATATTTAAAAGTGGAAATTTCTAATCCTCATTTTAGACCTACAGAATCCACATTTTTTAAGATGTATCCTAGGTAATTTCTTGAGTCCATCTTAGACAAGTCATTTAAAGAAGGTCCCTAGCTTTGGTATCATTATCTATAAAATAAGTACAATATCACTATCTTACACAGGTTTAAGAATTAAATGATATAATTTGTATTATTAAGTATCTAATACATATTATTAAGTATCTGGGCTTTCCAGGTGATGCTAGTGGTAAAGAACCCACCTGCCAATGCAGAGGACATGAAAGACTCGGTTCAATCCCTGGGTGGGGAAGATCGCCTGGAGGAAGGAATGGCAATCCACTCCAGTGTTCCTGCCTGGAGAATCCCAGACAGAGAAGCCTGATGGGCTACAGTCCATAGGGTCACCAGGAGTCTGATATGACTGAAGCAACTTAACATGCACACATATTAAGTATCTAGGAATGGCCCTGGCAATTTGTAGATGCTAGTATGATAGCTGCACCTTCTCCTTAACATGTTAATTTTGAGCTTACCAGTATTGGGTTTCTTAAGACTAGAGAACAGTTTCCTAGTAGACCTGCAGAGTCCCTATTTGTTCTATTAACTAATAAAAGAATATGGTACCTGAGGAGAAGCTTTTCTCTTCCACTATTTTTTCCACTGCTAATAAAGTAATTGTATGTACTTTTCTTCTGTCTTTTCTCTCTCACACACACACATGACTGGCCTTCAAACTTGGATCAAACAAGCAACACAAAAGAAAATAAGCCAAGATGAGTAATGAAAGATGAACTATTAAGCCCATCTACTTCCAGAACTCTCTCCTTCAACTTTTCTCCTCTTCTGGCCAATTTCTTGGCAAATGGACAAAGCTGTGATGGTTAAGAGCTGGCGTTAAGACACAGGGGTGCTGTAAGCGCTATAACCCTTCCAGCATGTACTTAACCTCCTGGTTCATAGACGGTAATGGCATGTATTCACCTGAATGCTAAAGACAAGCCTTTCTCTTGGCTGCAAGGCCTGACTAAATCAGGCAGGACACTGTACAAGAGACCTCACATCTGACTCCCATTTAGGGTCCAGAAGGCCCACTCCTGCAGCCATACCCTACACCTTGGCCTTTTAGTTCTGAGAGGTCTTGTTGGTTTATTAAGGAAGGAAAATAGGGTCAAACCCTAACTTCATCACTGACTTAGCTGTATAACACTGAACAAGTTATTTAACCCCAAATTCAGTTTTTTCAAGTTAATTTGAAGCTGTTCTATAGGCAGTTGGGGAACTGATGGTTTTTGAGGAGGAAAGTAACAATACAAATTAGCTCCCCCCAAAATGGTGCCCCTCCAAAAAAATAAACACAAACTAATTTTTTAATTTTTCCTGTTAAAATAAAAAACTAGAGTTAAATTCTTAAAGTCTAAATTAGACTAAACATAAAATAGCTATACAACCCACTGAATGGATTTATAGTTATTGTCCCTCAAAAATATCTAGTCATCTTCCACCTTTTTCTTTTTTTCTAAATTCATTCTACCCCAGTTTTCACTATCATCACATGTACTTTATTCCATCAAACATCATTTTCAGGATCAACCTACTTGAATAATCATTAAGCCTCTTTAGAGCTTTCCCAAACAAACTTTGTCATTTTGACTATACATTACTCTCCTCACTTAATAAAAGTTATTTCCCTAAAAAGAAAGATCAGTATATCTAATAGCTATTAAGTTAACCACTTGATAAAATTACATCAAAAACTACTCATCTTTATGTTAATTAACTGAATAAGGACATAATAAATTAGCCTACTACCTTGTCATTTACTTCATGCTTACAATATTACTCGGGCTTCCTGAGTAGCTCAAATGATAAAGAATCTCAAGATTAGTCAAGAAACCAAAATGGCTTCACATAACTTGATATTTGCTTTCCAATACTTCACATTTCAACCCCCTATCCATACAAAGAAAGAAAATCCAAACACATTCTCCTTACCTAAAAACAGTAGAAAAGGCTAACAGGCGTTATTTAAGACTTTTTAGACCTTGAAAAACAGTTACACTTCCCATGTGTATTTAAACTGCAAATTAGTTTTTATTTTGTGACATTGCTTCAACTTGTGCATCACAGTTAAACTGACTGGACTACTGCTTCATCTTGTCGAGTCAGATGGAGATACTTTTGCATCAAGGCTCTTATTCAAGATTTCTTCTTCTGCAAAATTGAGTTTAAAAAGAGGAAAAAAGGATAAACATTATAAAGAAAAAGTATGTCAAATTCCATGAAATAGCAAACTTCAGTCTTCAGAAAAAGTTCACAGGCAAATACGTAACTGTGATAAAATTACCATTATTCTCACTGAGGTACCTCTTTGCCAGAGGTACATCTCTCCTAGAATACTTTTTAACACACCAGTGTTTAATTATCATAGGCAAATCAGAATGATTTATAATCTGTATTACCAGATCTATATCTGTTCTAGCATGCTTAAAGAGCAGTTTTTGTTTTGTTGAAGTACAGGTGATTTACAATATTATATTAGATGTAGGTGGACAAAGTGATTTATATATTTCTTACTACCTATATTATATTTTCTATTTTTATAACATATACATTATACATATTTTATACTATATTACATATTTTTCAATTATTTTCCATTATAGGTTATTATAAGATATTGAATACAGTTCCAAAAGCAATTGTTTTTAACTTTTTATGATGAGCCAAACTTCTCTGCCATCCAGCTTAAATAATTATTAATACTAATTGTTACAAGTTGAACTGTGTCCCTTCCAAAAGAAGTTCTAACTTCTGTACCTCATGTTGAGGTATAAGTTCTATACCTGATGTTGAAGTTCTAACCCCTGTACCTCAGAATATGGCTTTATTTGGAAACAGGGTCACTGCAGATATATTCAGTTAAGAGTAGGATGGGAGCACAATGGGCTGTTAGTCTATACAACGAGTATCCTTATAGGAAGGTACATAGAACACAAGGGGAGAATGCCATGTGCAGATGGAGGCAGAGATGAACTATGCTGCCACAAGCTAAAGAACACCTGGGAGTATCAGAAGCTAGAAAAGTCAAGGATCATCCTCTGTGATCTCAGAGGGAACATGGTCATGCCAACACCATGAGCCTGAATACCACCCTCCAAAACTTGTTTCCTCCAGAGACAAAAAAATTTGTTGTCTTAAGCCACCAAGTTTGTGGTACTTTGTTATGGCAGTCCTAGGAAAGTAGTACACTGACCCATCTTGTCACCACACCCCCATCAAATTACTTCAAAGCAAATCATAGATACTGTAAGTTTTGAGATATTTCTCAACATTTTTAGAACCATCTTCCATTAGCAAAGATTTTGACAATATCTATTTTCAGTAGTTTGTATTACAAAAGCAACAGGTTCTAGGTTTTTGGTTTTGTTTTCCACCCCGTCCCATACCAATTGTAAGCTATATACATCATCTCATCACAAGAGATTCTGAAAGTACCCATAAAAATGATGGGTTCACTTTTCTCATCCTGACTGAAGGAATAAGGAATATATTCTGTCACATTAACAAGATTGTGTCACATTCACAGAATACTATTTTTACAAGAAATTGAGAGAAAACTTTCAGCAGGTCAATATGCCCACATCTAGTTAAATCTTACCTGTTAAATTAGGTAGAAGTTCTCCAAGGTTACATGGTATTGTGGTCTTCAATCTTTGTTCCACTGGAGAAAACTTAATTAGTGGTGAAAGAGACTGTTTTCTTTCACCAAGGGACATGCGTGAAGATGGTTTTGTATAATCAATGTGCAAATCATGAACGCCCCAAAAATTAAACATATCATCAGTCTGCATGTTTTGGGGAGTAAGGTTCAATTCTGGTTTGTGTCTTTCAAGTATTTCAGGATTAGAGAGGTAAATTTCCTCCCTTTGCTTGGATGGAGAATTCTTCAGAGCCTCATATCCCCTGCAAGTAGCCTGTAAATTGAAGTCTGATTCTGGAGTAGTCTGTCTTTCTCCCACAACATCTTCTGTGAAAATGCCACTGTGCATAGGACTATTTGGTTCCAGTTCACAAGTGGCCTCTGTACTACTGGGGCTAATAAGACTTATGTGACCAACTTCTGGAAGAGTTTCATGTAATATGCCAAAATCACCATCTTTAAAACTGGAACTAATTCCACTTGATACCTGAAAACAGTTCCATAACATACTGTTATGCATGGAAAAGTCTTCGTAAGAAGCTTTCGATTGGTCTAATATTTTAATATTATCTTCTTCACTGCTACCTAACACATTTCTTCTATTGCCTACAGCAGGGGAAAATGTCTCTATTTGTTCAGTTTCTAAAAGTTTGTTCTGTAAAGTTGTACAGTCCAAATCTTGTATACAAATTATGTCCTTATTTAACAAATCTGATGGATCTTGTGTTGTTTGTTTACCTATGCAAGTGGTCACCACAGGTTTCTGAGGCACACACTCAAGGCAATCTGAAACAACTTTCTCTTCAGGCAAATGAGAATGACTAGAATCAGATACAGTGGCTGCTGACAAGAAACTGGCCATGCTAAACTCTTTTTGATTATGCACCACAGGTAAGGATTCTGGCAATTCTTCTCTATGTTCAGTATCCACTTGTATTGGTTCTGTACTTCTGTTATCTTCTATTTCAACAGCTTTTCTCCATGAGCTCCGAATTTCATTTACTAATTAAATGAAGAGGGAAATAACACAAGTTGCTAATAAATTCCCAAACAGAACATGCAATTAAACATTTAATTCTAGTGCTCAAGATAAAGCTGCTGACTCAGTATATGTTCATAGGTACGCCAGCTGAATGACAAGGCTTCACAATATACCAAAGCCCAACAACATCAAAGAAACCCATCTCCAAATGATCACACAAAAAACAAAAGCTGTTCCTGAAATATGCATGTACTTTCACACAGCACACACAAATTACATGTGTTAAAAAGATATTTTCTTGTCCATCTAGGCCAGGGTTCAGCAAACTTTTTCTATAAAGGGCCAAATAGTAATACATCAGGTTTTGCACACCATTTTGTCAGCGGCAACTCTTCAGTTCTGTCACTGTTGTGTGTGCAAAAGCAGCCATAAAAGATATGTTGACCAATGAACAAAAAAAGAAAGAAAGTGAAGTCGCTCAATCGTATCTGACTCTTTGCAACCCCATGGACTGTAGCCCACCAGGCTTCTCCGTCCATGTGATTCTCCAGGCAAGAATACTGGAGTGGGTTGCCATTTTCTTCTCCAGGGGATCTTCCCAACCTAGGGATCGAACCCGGTCTCCCACACTGCAGGCAGACGCTTTAACCTCTGAGCCACCCGGGAAGCCCAACAAATGAACAAGGTTGTGTTCAAAACAACTTTATTTATAAAAACATACAGTGGGCCGATGTGGTTTGCAAGATGTAGTTTGCCAAACACCAACCTATACAGTGGCTAGGTTCAACCTGAACTGAATCCATTTAACTTTCAATATGTCATTTCTAGTAGTATAATGGAAATTACACTTACTCACCCAGGATGACGTGCCTACATGAGGACAGAATATCAGAACTTTGCCCACACAACACAGGTTGTAAGAAGAGACTACTTGAGAGTCTGCCTAGCTCGGGAGCAGTAGACGGGATCTCTGTACACACAGTTTTTGGCTGATGCTGCTGATTGCTGACTAGAAGAATATAGCCTCCATACTCTCTAAGTGGTCTTCCCAAGTGGCTCAGTGGTAAAGAATCTGCCATTGCAGGAGACACGGGTTTGATCCTGGGTCAAGGAGATCCCCTGGAGAAGGAAATGGCAACCTACTCCAGTATCCTTGCTTGGGAGATCCCATGGACAGAGAAGCCTAGCAGGCAACAGTCCATGAGGTCCCACAAAAGAGTCAGACACCACTTAGCAACTAAACAACAACTCTATAAATGTTGATCACAAATCAGATGTGGAGGCAGAGGACTTTTTTAAGTAATCAACTAAAATATTTTCCAGGAAAAAGCCAAGTAAAACAACAAAAACAAAACTGTATAGTTATCAGGGCAAAATAATCCTGCTGAAGGACTGCCATGTAAGTGACAGTGCTCACAGTATTTCAGTAAAAGTCCCCCATGTCAAAACAAACAGAGCCAATGCCACTAAACTGAGACACAGAAAACAATTTTAAAGTGAATTTCAGCAGATCTGTCAGACCATGGTTCTAACAGTAGTATGCCTAATAAAGAAAAACAACCAAAAGCATTATTAACTTACTCAAGTTTTCTGGAGTTCGAGGAATTTGACTCCTTGTTATGAACGGGTTAGAAATTAGAGAGTCAATTAGTTCCTCTAATTTTACTTCTTTTCCTTCAGAGAGCTGTGGTGAATTAGATAAAACTGCCCTTGCAACCTAAAACAGAAAAGAAAAAGTAAAGCAAAAATATAAAGCCCACTGGTAGACTACAACAAAAGCCATAATAACAGCAACATGAACAAAAATAAGCTCAACAATGTAGCTCCCAGACACTTCATAAAGACTATATAGGCACAATCCTGTAAGGTGAAATCAAACCTGAAACCCATTTCCTCCTTTCTTATCTTAAATGAATATCCTGTTACACTGAGAAAAAGATAAATCTTTATACCTAGAAAGATTTAGACAGAGATAGTTCTGACTGCAGTGATCTGAGCTATCTGCCACACTTATGAGCTTCACAATTCCATATCTGCTAAAATGACTAGTTCTAAAGCATACAGGTTCTTCTTAAAGTCCACTGAACAGTAGCATCTCTATTAACAGGGTACATTATGGTGACAACATACTTCTTTCCCAGTAAGCTCATCATCAGACATAAATTAGTGAAGAAAACATAGGAATATATTTTTAAAATAAAAAAAGTATAATATGAAAATAGCACTCTATACTAAATTTTAATAAAACCAGAAAACAAAAATAAGCAAAATAAAATCTCTGTGCCCTGAGATTCCTAAAAAAGAAACTGCCTACAACCATAATCAAACTGACTCCAGTTCACCCTCCTCCATGAAAACAGATGGCTTCTCAGAATTCTAACACTAAATATTCCTTGTCATAAATACCACGATGGTTGTTGTTCAGTCACTAAGTTGTGTCTGACTCTTCTGCAACCCCCTGGACTGTAGCCCACCAGGCTCCTCTATCCGTGCGATTTCCCGAGCAAGAATACTAGAGTGGGTTGTCATTTTCTTCTCCAGGGTATCTTCCCAATCCAGAGATTGAACCACGTCTCCTGCATTGGCAGGCAGATTCTTTACCACTGAGACACCAGGAAAGCCCTGTCATAAACACTATTAGAATTAACTTCACTTTTCAGAGCTTTATGAGATGTTAGGACTCTCCTCTTCCATCCCTTCTCATACCACTGATACTATCAATTCCTTTAGCCAAAAAACGTGCCTTTCCTCCCATATTAGGAAAGAAAAAAAGAATGAGTAACCATCTTTCCTTTAGTACAGAATCAATCAGCTAATACAGAGAAACAACAGATTTTAGAGATTTAAAAATATTTAGAGACCATGAAACAATGAATGAATCAATATGCACTAAACCAAAATTTTCTTTCAGTTGCTCAGGAATATAAAATAGCTGATATACTTTCTGGCTGTTTATCCAAATTCAAATAATGGGAAATATGTAACAAAAATAACATTAAAGAATAGCCTAGCCATTTAATTTATGTGAACTGAGTTCTAATACTCAGCATTAGTAGTATTATATGGTCACTTACCAGTGAAAAGTAGAAAAGTATTAAGGAACAGAGCTAGTTAAGAAAACCGAGATCATGAACAATCATGTATTTATTCATTTCTGAAATATTTGAAAAGCAGAACAAAACCTTTGCTTAGTGATAATATATACTGTATAGCCTTTGTTCTAAAATTCAAAAACAGACGAAGCTCAGCTAAGAAATAGGTAACAGAGTATTTTAATAAAGTATAATCATCAGGTGTTATCTATCCAATAATTTACATAATGATTAATTCAAAAAATATTATACATGTATTATTTTTACACTTTTGAATAGTCATAGAATGGGACATTCTATACTATGAATGTAATCTTAACTAAGTAAGTTTACTTCATTATATCTTTTCTACTTTAGGAGAGGACAAACTTTGCTTTTTTTATTATCTGTGACCTCCTTTCCAAAAATACCCCCAGTAAATCAATAATTAACTATACTTCACTTATAATTCCAACACCATCGAGAAAATAACATATTTCAGTATACTTATAATCTTTTTCTAACCTCTTCTACCAGATGATCTTGCTCTTTCTGGAATGGACTGCTTTTTTTAGCTGGCAGAGACCCTCCACATGCACTACTATCTGTATTCTTTGCAATATTTGATGATGAAGAGTATTCCACTTCAAATTCTGGTGTTTTCTTAGGAACTGTTTCATTTTTCTCTCTAAGAGTTATCAACTTCGTGTCCTGAAAAAGATAGATGTGTAATGTTAAAAACTTAATAATGGTACCTAATCTTGATTAGAGGTTCTAGAGTTATCATGAACCTATAAAAAGTTGTTAATGTTACTATAAAAACTATGTTCACTAACGCAATTTAAAAATTCCAATATTCCCATTTAGAAGTAATAAAAAATGTATAAATAGGAATGGTACATAATGTTCACAAACAGGGAAGTGTGAAAACAGAAATTTAATTTGAGATATCAACAAAAGTAAAGAATATTTTATCGTAAATAATTATGGTCAGAATTAATTTTAAATTGTTTTAAAACATACCTTTTCAAGTAATGTAACAATGTCTCCACCTAATGGTGAAACCGGCTGTAACAGGAAAGAAGCAGGGCTAAAAGGAAAAATATTATTAAATCCAAGTTATGAATAAGAAAGAATTCCATTCACTTGATATATCTGAATATTCTAAAGAAACTGTCTGCCCCGTATCTGTCCGTTACGATTTCTCTCAATTCGTCCCGGTCATCAAAAGGCAGTGTGTTATTCTAGGGAGGTACAGTGACAATTAGAGCAACACTTCAGCCCAACTTGTGTATCAGCCTCCCAAATTTGAACATTTTCCTTACCCATTATGTATTTTAAGTCAATAGCATTTTTTACACAGGTTAGATGACTTGATGAACACTCAGAAACTTGAGTACAAGGTAAAAACAAATTCAGTTAGCTAGAATCACATTATTACCATGTCCTCAGGCTTCAGATAACAGAAGCAATGTAGCAGAGACTGTAAGCTTCTTTGGATATTTCAGGTCCAAAAGCAATTTCTCTTATGTTGAATTTTCTATGGCAAATGTATTAAAGTCATAAAACCTTAATTTGTGACATTCTACACTTGTGTGCATGCTAAGTTGCTTCAGTTGGATCCAACTCTTTGTGACCCCGTGGACTGTAGCCCGCCAAGCTCCTCTGTCCACAGGATTTTCCAGGCAAGAATACTGGAGTGGGTTGCCATGCCCTCCTCCAGGGGGATCTTACCAACCCAGGGATCAAACCAGCATCTCTTATGTCTTCTGCATTGGCAGGTGAGTTCTTTACCACCGAGCCACTTGGGAAGTCCTATTCTACACGTTTTGGCTTGTCTCAGGTCAGATTTGGAGAAGGAAATGGCAACCCACTCCTATATTCTTGCCTGGAGAATCCCATGGACAGAGGAACCTGACAGGTCATGGCCCATAGGGTTGCAGAGAGTTGGACACAGCTGAAGCGACTAAGCATGCAAGTACGCATTCTACACATAGTGTTCCTTAATCTCTTAGATTCTCTTGCTCCTTTTGGTAAACATGAAAACCTTACGTATCTTTTCACTATAGTTACAAGAGGGTATTAAATATTTTTTAAGCCTTCAAAGTAATGATAACTTTAATCATTTATCTTCATCTTGAAAGTGCTTTCAAATTCAATCATGGATTGGGTCTGCTCACTGACCAAAAGCTTTACAGGTAAAATGAAACGTAGGATTACCACTTTCAACATCAAGCATGCTGATTTTTTCCTTTCTGTTCATAGAAAAGGACAAAACTAATAGTTTTGCAAATATTTTACATAATAGCAAATATACCTTTCAAACTTTTTCAAATGTGCCCTTCTCGAAATCTACCTTCCAAACATAATTCAAAAAATCACTGAAATTGCTCAAGCTTCAACTTTGTCTTGACAGGATATAATCTAGATATCTAGAGCAAAAGATGAGTAATTACTATCTAGTGTGACTTCATCCAAATTCTTCACCAAACTTGACATGAAAATGATCAGAACGCCCTTTAAAGCAGGGCCAGCAAGTTATGGACAAACAGCACTAAGATGCCACCAAAAGACTGGTGAGCTCCTTGAGGACAAAGACTATGTCTTACCAAAGGCTATTCCCAAGTCCTAACGTAGTGTCTGGCACTTGGTAGTACCACACATACTTGTAATGGATGGACTGATCAATGAATAAATGCCACTTGAAGATGAGGTTCTATAGATGCCACCAAATTTTTCTACTTGAATCATTCCTGCAGAGTCTCATAATAGAGAAAAATGGAACCACATTCTATACCTCCTCTCTCTGATTTCTGAAGTGGCAACATGCTGTTAGTCTTGCTAATATCTCAATTCAACTTTAAACTGAACTGAGCCCTGGCTCAGTCCTTACACTCTACCCACTTGCAATGCCAAAACTGAGGCCCAAGAAATCCAGATAAAAAGCATACTGACCCCATTGTGGAAATTTACCCTAAAAGCACTTCCAAAAGAAAAAAGACACACTTTTTATAGTAAAATTTTAAGGAAAACCTAAAGTCTAAAAATAAATATTACAAAGCTATTTTAAGTGGTTATATAATGTTACATACATACACAAACTTTTAAAAATGCATTTATGCTATGATAATGTTGAGAAAATTTTGTATTTTAGAATACAAGACTATATTCATGCTTTGATTAGAACTAAAATTATAAGTAAAGTCTAAAAAGAACTTGGGAAAGAATCTGAAAAGTGATTTGTTAGAAATTTTAGCTAGTTTTTTTAAATTTTCATTTGTTGTTGTTATTCCAATATGTCTACAATTAACAGAGAAATAACTAAAGAAGGAAATAATAAAATGAGATTAGAATTCAATTTCTAAGTCTAAGGATGTTTATTTGAAATGCATGCAATTCACACTGCCCTATCTTTGAAATGCAATAAAGGAGAAACTCTAGAGGTTAAAGGTCTAGAATAACTGCATCACCACCACTAGAAATATCATGGAAACCTCCTTTCCAGAAACCATTGCAAAGAAAGGTACTACCCAGTGTGCAGCAAAGGCATCACCAATTACTGAATTCTGATTGTAGGTATAGTGAAGCCTCCATCACTCTGATCAAAACCAAGCCAGGAGATTTATGGAGAAGACTCCTTATATTTTAGTACTTGTGAAAAGTCAAACAACACACTTACTCTAAAAACTACATTCATTTCATGTTTTTTAAGTGAATAGCTTAACCATTTTCACATATGAATTTCCCAATTAACTACACTGACATTGATGTAAGATGATGCCTCTATAAATATTTAGTGTAACAGCTGTTCTATACACCAAAAAGGGGTATTTCTTTAAGTGCAATCTATCCTCATTACACATGAAACATTTTATTACAAAATACCTTTTTTAATAAACAATCTTCTGAGAAGAAATTTTACTTCTACATCTCAGTAACTCAACTCTTCACCTCTCTTCTGTCCCTCTATTAAGCAGTAATAAACGTTCATTTCCCATTAAGCATTTATCCTTCATCACCAAAAGCCTTCCTCTACCTTCTTTAAATATCCCAACCTATAAGTAAAATTAAGTATCACAAGACAGTTAAAAGCTCCAGTAGCAAAAAAAAAAAAAAAAAGCTCCAGTAGCTTGAAAGAGGATAAATGAGGAACTGAAAATTATTTAAAACAACTTTTTCCTATTTTAAGAGAATTCTATTTGAATTAAATTTTTAAGGGCTAAGTGTCTGGCTCCTGTAGAATTCTGAAAGTACATCTTAGTACAAAATTCTACCTCAAGAAAGAATCTTAAGGTTCATGTTGTTCAAAAATAAAATCAGATTTGTAAATTAATCTACTAACTCCATTAATCTTTAGTCCAGCAAGAGATGTTAATCAAAATTAATTTGCTCTCTCAAGAAAAGACATGAAAAAAATAACAGACGGGGAGCACCAATTATTTCCCTCTAAGAGGCATGCTTTAGAACAATTGTGATAAGAGGATAAAATTAGCAAGCCCAATAACTTCAGTTTCTTCAATACCAGGTCTTCACTGAATATTTCATTATATTTCTCTAGGTACTTAGAAAATCAACATCATATCCATATGTAAAAACAAAAATAAAATTCTTTCACAAGTAGTCCTGACCTTCTATGAACAGAAAATTACTGCAGAGGAAACTGCCAATAGCATAATTTCACATTTAAGTTTTGACTCTGGTTATGGTGTTTTCTTTGACTGTGTGGATCATAATAAACTGTGGAAAATTCTGAAAGAGATGGGAACACCAGACCATCTGACCTGCCTCTTAAGAAACCTGTATGCAGGTCAGGAAGCAACAGTTAGAATTGGACATGGAACAACAGACTGGTTCCAAGTAAGAAAAGGAGTACGTCAAGGCTACATATTGCCACCCTGCTTGTTTAACTTATATGCAGAGTACATCATGAGAAATGCTGGGCTGGAAGAAGCACGAGCTGGAATCAAGATTGCCAGGAGAAATATCAATAACCTCAGATACGCAGATGACACCACCCTTAGGGCAGAAAGTGAAGAGGAACTGAAGAGCCTCTTGATTAAAGTCAAAGAGGAGAGTGAAAAAGCTGGCTTAAAGCTCAACATTCAGAAAACTAAGGTCATGGCCTCTGGTCCCATCATTTCATGGGAAACAGATGGGGAAACAATGAAAACAGTGGCTGACTTTATTTTGGGGGGCTCCAAAATCACTGCAGATGGTGACTGCAGCCATGAAATTAAAAGACGCTTACTCCTTGGGAGGAAAGTTATGACCAACCTAGATAGCATATTAAAAAGCAGAGACATTACTTTGCCAACAAAGGTCTGTCTAGTCAAGGCTATGGTTTTTCCAGTGGTCAGGTATGGATGTGAGAGTTGGACTGTGAAGAAAGCTGAGTGCCGAAAAATTGATGCTTTTGAACTGTGGTGTTGAAGAAGACTCTTGAGAGTCCCTTGGACTGCAAGGAGATCCAACCAGTCCATCCTAAAGGAGATCAGTCTTGGGTGTTCATTGGAAGGAATGATGCTGAAGCTGAAACTCCAATACTTTCGCCACCTCATGCGAAGAGTTGACTCATTGGAAAAGACCCTGATGCTGGGACGGATTGGGGGCAGGAGGAGAAGGGGACGACAGAGGATGAGATGGCTGGATGGCATCACCGACTCAATGGACATGAGTTTGAGTAAACTCCGGGAGTTGGGGATGGACAGGGAAACCTGGCCTGCTGCAGTCCATGGGGTCGCAAAGAGTCAGACACAACTGCACAACTGAACTGAACTGATGGTGTTTTAATTTATTATAACTTACTAGGAGGATACAAAATGCAGGAGGCCTGAAGTCACTTAAAATTTAGAATCTTATTTTTAGGATTATTCTAAGTATTTTGTTTCCGTACCTGTGCCTCATTAATATGGGGAAAGTGAACTAAAAGACACCTATTTAAATCAAATGGTAATCAGAAAAACAATAAAAAAGGAATCTGTCTAGCATGTCTGTGTTTGACTGCTAGTTAATAATGTTTATTAAAGGAGAAACATATACACATTTAGAGATATTTGCTTTTATAATCTGACATCAGTTTATTTAAGGGCCAAAATAGAATAATACAGAAAAAAAGGCAATAAATAAAATGAGACTACTACTAGTTAGTTACAATAAACTAACTAGGTTCAGCTTAATTATGCTAAACTTGGGGATTATATTAAATCAGAAGTCTTCCCCCCCAAAAAAAAATTTTTAAGCATAGAACTCTTTTTATCAAATGGCATATAAAACCCCAATATACAATACAGATAAGAGTAAGCTGCTCAGGTTGAAGTGGCAAAGGATGAAAAAGCCACAGACTAAGTGTGACTCATTCTTAGCATCAGGGGGCGCTGCAGAACACAGACTGAAAACCACCAACCAGGTAATTTCAGAAGTCCCTGAACACTTGGATTTAGTCAACAGTCACAAGTGATTTCAAAGTTCACAGACACAAAAATGCAAAAATTCCCAAACTTGTATTAGATAATTTTCATATATATCTTTCTCTTCAAAAATTAGGTAATCCCCACGAGTCTCAACATTTAGATAAGAATAGAAGAGGAAAAAATGCCCATGAATCAGAAATGTTGAATCTTCCAGAAAAAGGGGATCTACAATGGGAAAACACCATCTGATTAATAGAAGAAAGTTATAAGCTATCCCATACTAACGAAACTTGAAAACTGGCTGAAGATGGAACTAAAATTAATGAAGACGAAAAAAAATCAATACGAAAATCAAATCTGTTTTACCTGTTGGCTGGATCAGATTTAGTTTCCAGGGTATCACTTACTCTTCTGCAATTATTTTCCTGGATATGTTGCTTAGGTGTAACTAAAGGAATAGAAAAATTAATTACTCTTTAAATTACTCTTGTACATTCTAATATTTAGAGCTCTCTTGAGGTTCTGAACAGAATAAAAAAATAATATAAATGCTAATAGGAAAAGATAATTATTCAATTATTAACTATAAAGTAATACGCATGACAGTGATGGAGAATATGTACAATAGGCTCTCCTAAAAAGATAGCTCAAAGTTTCCCCAAAAGGGACAATCCACAACTCTCTAGTATTATATATAGCCATGTTTCATGTTTAAGTACACAAATAATGCACTTATCAAATAAACCAGCCAAAAAGTTATAGTACTTAGCATACTTTAGCCCAGCACCTACAACATCAACTGCTATGTATTTATTCTACAACATACCATTTAATAACTATGTCACTGCAGTACTAACAATGGGGGAAAAAAATTTTTTAATGGAGACCTGCCTTCAATAAATCAGTACAGGAGAGACTATTGATAAGAAAAGCATTATGACATACTGTTACAGGATTATAATACAAGTATGCACAGAATGCAAGAAGGCAGAAAGGCACCTGGTCCAGAGTAGGGAACGTGAAGAAGACACGAAAGTACCAGGAGAATGAGGCGCACGTTTGGTGTGCCAGAGCATAGCATATATCTAGTGGAGAAGCATGACAGGAAATAAAATTGAAGGAAGTCATGGTTATATTTCAGAGGATTAGATATTCCAGAAGCTCCTCTTCTTTCAACATGTTTGATTCTGAAAGATTATACATGTCCAAAGTGTTACTGTATAAGAAAACAATGTGTATTGTAAAGTTTTCTTTTAATTCATCATAATGCCACCTTTTAACATTTTCAATATCCTAAGCTTTTGAACTTACTAATGATGATGTAGTTTGTTATTTATAAAACATACCAGGGTTTCCCTGGTGGTTCAGCAGTTAAGAATCTGCCTTCCAATGCAGGGGACATTGGTTTGATCCCTGGTCTAGGAAGATCCCTGGTCCAGGAAGATCCTACATGTTGTGAGGTAACTAAGCCTGTGTGCCACAACTACTAAGGCCACCCTCTAGAGCCCATGAGCAACAACTGCTGAGATAATGTGCTGCAACCACTGAAACCCACATGCCCTATGGCCGGTGCTCCACAACGAAGAGGAGCCCCTGTTCACTGTAATTGGAGAAAGCCAACACAGCAACAAAAACCAAATGCAGCCATAAATAATTAAACAGACAGAAAACTCTTTTAAAAAATAAATGAAAGTCTTAAAAGCAACCAGAGATCAAAAATTACCTACAAATGAATGACAATTAGACTGAGAGCAAATGATTCAAAAAGAAGGCATTAAGTAATGATGGCATATTATCAAAGTCTCAAGGAAAAATTAGTCCTTGATCTTGAATCCTATAACCAATCTATCATTCCTAAGTAAAGACATTTCTCCAAAGAAGACATACAGATAGTCAATAGACACATGAAAAGATGCTCAACATTGCTAACTATTAAGAGAAATGCAAATCAAAACCACAATATCAACCTCACACTGGTTAGAATGGCTACCATAAAAAAATCTACAAATAATAAATGCTGGAGAGGATGTGGACACAAGGGAACCCTCCTACACAGGGGAATGTAAACTGGTGCAGTGACTATAGAAAACATATGAAGATTCCTTACAAATCTAAAAGCCAAACTACCATTTGATCCAGCAACTCCACTCCTGGATATATATGCAAAAAAAACAAAAACTCTAATTTGAAAAGACACATGCACTTCAATGTTCATAGCAGCACTATTTATAATAATTAAGACACGGAAGCAAACCAAGTGTCCATCAACAGATTACTGGCTTAAGAAGAAGTGGTATAAACATGCATATATATGTATATACGTGTATGTGTGTGTATGTATATACATGTATATATACACATACAGTGGATATTTTGGGCTTCCCCAGTGGCTCAGCAGTAAAGAATCTGCCTGCAATGCAAGAGCCACAGGAGACTCAGGTTCATATCCTGGGTGGGGAAGATCCCCTGGAGGAGGGCATGGCAACCCACTCCAGTATTCTCGCCTGGAGAATCCCATGGAAAGAAGAGCCTGGCGGGCTACAGTCCATAGTGTTGCAGAGTCGGGTACAACTGAAGCAACACAGCACACATGCAGACATAATGGATATTTATATGAATATTTCTCAGCCATAAAAGAGTAAAACATTGCCATTTCCACAACATGGATGGACCTAAAGAATATTAGGTTTAGTAAAATTAGTCAGAGAAAGACAAATACTATATACTGTCACTTATATGTGATTTCTGAAAAGTAATGGAAATTTCGTCTAACTCAATGAAACTATGGAGCCATGCCGAGTGGGGCCATACCACTGGAGAAGGGAATGCAAATCACTTCAGTATTCTTGCCTTGAGAACCCCATGAATAGTATGAAAAGGCAAAAAGATACAACACTGAAGGATGAACTCTCCGGGTCAGTAAACGCCCACAGAAGAGTGGATAATAACACCAGAAAGAATGAAGAGACGGAGACAAAGCAAAAACAACACCCAGTTGTGGATGTGACTGGTGATGGAAGAAAAGTCCAATGCTGTAAAAAACAATATTGCATAGGAACCTGGAATGTTAGGTCCATGAATCAAGGTAAATTGGAAGTGGTCAAACAGAAGATGGCAAGAGTAAACATCATTTTAGAAATCAGAGAACTAAAATGGACTGAAATGGGCAAATTTAACTTAGATGACCACTGTATCTACTACTGTGGGTAAAAATCCCTTAGAAGAAATGGAGTAGCCATTATAGTCAATAAAAGAGTCCAAAATGCAGTCCTTGGGTGCACTCTCAAAAACCACAGAATGATCTCTGTTCATTTCCAAGGCAAACCTTAAATGTCACATTAATCCAAGTCTATGCCCCAACCAGTAATGCTGAAGAAGCTGAAACTGAACAGTTCTATGAAGACCTACAAGACCTTCTAGAACTAACACCCAAAAGAGATGTCCTTTTCATTACAGGGACTGGAATGCAAATTAGTAAGTCAAGAGATACCTCGTGTAACAGGCAAATTTGGCCTTAAAGTACAAGATGAAGCAGGGCAAAGGCTAACAGAGTTTTGCCAAGAGAACGCACTGGTCATAGCAAACACCCTCTTCCAACAACACAAGAGACAACTCTACACATGGACATCACCAGACGCTCAATATTGAAATCAGATTCATTATATTCTTTGCAGCCAAAGATGGAGAAACTCTATACAGTCAGCAAAAACAAGACTGGGAGCTGACTGTGGCTCATATCATGAACTCCTTATTGCCAAATTCAGACTGAAATTGAACAAAGTAGGGAAAACCACTAGACCATTCAGGTATGACCTAAATCAAATCCCTTATGATTATACACTGGAAATGACAAATGGATCAAGGGATTAGATCTGATAGAGTATTTGAAGAACTAAGGATGGAGGTTCGTGACATTGTACAGGAGGCAGTGATCAAGACCATTCCCAAGAAAAAGAAACGCAAAAAGGCAAAATGGTTGTCTGGGGAGGCCTCACAAAATAGCTGAGAAAAGAGGAGAAGCCAAAGGCTAAGGAGAAAAGTAAAGATATACCCATCTGAATGCAGAGTTCCAAAGAATAGCAAGGAGATAAGAAAGTCTTCCTCAGCGACCAATGCAACGAAACAGAGGAAAAACAACAGAATGGGAAGGACTAGAGATCTCTTCAAAAAAATTAGAGATACCAAGGGAACATTTCATGCAAAAATGGGCTCAATAAAGGACAGAAATGGTATGGTCCTAACAGAAGCAGAAGATATGAAGAGGTGCCAAGAATACACAGAAGAACTGTACAAAAAAGATCTTCATGACCCAGATAACCACGATGGTGTGATCATTCACCTAGAGCCAGACATCGTAGAATGCAAAGTCAAGTGGGCCTTAGGAAGCAACATTATGAACAAAGCTAGTGGAGGTGATGGAATTCTAGTTGAGCTATTTCAAATCTTAAAAGATGATGCTTTTAAAGTGCTGCATTCAATATGACAGCAAAGTTGGTAAACTCAGCAGTGGCCACAGGACTGGAAAAGGTCAGTTTTCATTCCAATTCCAAAGAAAGGCAATGCCAAAGAATGCTCAAACTACTGCACAATTGCACTCATCTCACACACTAGCAAAGTAAGGCTCAAAATTCTCCAAGCCAGGCCTCAACAGTATGTGAACCGTGAACTTGCAGGTGTTCAAGCTGAACTTAGAAAAGGCAGAGGAACCAGAAATCAAATTGCCAACAACTGCTGGGTCACAGAAAAAGCAAGAGAGTTCCAGAAAAACATCTATTTCTGCTTTATTGACTACACCAAATCCTTTGACTGTGTGGATCACAACAAACTGTGGAAAATTCTGAAAGAGATGGGAATACCAGACCACCTGACCTGCCTCCTGAGAAATTTGTGTGCAGGTCAAGAAGCAACAGCTAGAACAGGACATGAAACAACAGACTGGTTCAAAACTGGGAAAGAAGTACATTAAGGCTGTATATTGTCACCCTGCTTATTTTATTTATACACAGAGTACATCATGCAAAATGTCGGTGTGGATGAAACACAAGCTGGAATCAAGATTGAGGGGAGAAATATCAATAACCTCAGATAGGCAGATGACACCACCCTTATGGCAGAAAGCAAAGAAGAAATAAAGAGCCTCTTGATGAAAGTGAAAGAGGAGAGTGAAAACGCTGGCTGAAAACTCAACATTCAAAAAACAAAGATCATGGCATCCAGGCCCATCACTGCATGGCAAATAGGTAGGGAAACAATGGAAACAGTGGCTGACTTTATTTTCTTGGGTTCCAAAATCTCTGCAGATGGTTAACTACAGCCATGAAATTAAAAGACACTTGCTCCTTGTAAGAAAAGCTATGACCCTCCTAGACAGCATATTAAAAAGCAGAGACATTACTTTGCCAACAAAGGTCTGTCTAGTCAAAGCTATGGTTTTTCCAGTAATCAAGTATGGATGTGAGAGCTGGACCATAAAGAAAGCTGAGTGCCGAAGAATTGATTATTTTGAACTGTGGTGCTGGAGAGGATTCTTGAGTGTCCCTTGGACTGTAAGGAGATTAAGCCATCAATCCTAAAGGAAATCAGTCCTGAATATTCATTGGAAGGACTGATGCTAAAGCTGAAGCTCCAATACTTTGGCCACCTGATGCAAAGACCTGACTCACTGGAAAAGACCCCAACGCTGGGAAAGATTGAAGGCAGGAGGAAAAGGAGACAAGGGAGAATGAGATGGTTGGATGGCATCAGACTCAATGGACATGAGTTTGAGCAGGCTCTGGGAGTTGGTGATGGATAGAGAAGCCTGGCACGCTGTAGTTCATGGGGTCGCAAAAAGTTGGACACGACTGTGCAACTTTCACTCAAACTAAATATGCCGAGAGTAAAAAGGCCCTTTCCAAGCTGAAGTGAGAACATAATGCCAACCAAATATGTCAAGAACTATCAAAGTAATTCTGTCGTCATAAATAATGCTCTGAATCTGAAGTCTTTATTCATCAAACTATGCAGTCTTTTCTGTCTACACTTCTGCTGGCTCCTATCCTTGACCCATGCTCTCTGGTCTATGATGTTTCCCAATTAGTGTCCTCCTCACATACACCTGACTCTCAAACAAATCACCTATGCTAGTTGTGGTTATCCTTTTCTTCCTAAGTCCTGTGCTGACTGCTGGCATGATCAAATAGCTGCCTGAACTCCCCTGTGACCTACTCCTCACTGGCTACATATTTCAACGTTTTTTATACACTTATTCCTCTACCTATCTATCTCACATTTACTGAACCCAATAATAATTTCTTGTACACAAGCAGCAGACAATTGGAGAGACTAAGTATGAAATGGCTATTAGATATTGCAGAGAAATTAACTTTGAGGTATGACAATGGTATGATATTTGAGGAAACTGGATGAGATACTATAGAACTATTATTAATCTGAAGTATGAAATTAATGGTAATTAAACAGGAAAGTCCTTATTTTCATGGGAGTGCATGCTAAAACACTTAAGAGTCAAGTGTTAACATTTCAAATGGTTTAGCAAAGAAAAATACACACTTAAAGCAAAAATCTCAACTGCAGAAACAGGCAATGGTTAGGTATTCAAGTAATTACTGAACTATTCTTTCATGTTAAAAAAACTGTGGGCTTCTACACAAAAACTTATAAATGACTATTAATAGCAGCATAACTCATAGTAGCCAAATGGTGGAAACAATACAAATGTCCATCAAAAGACAAATGGATAAACAAAATACAATTAAATCATACAAAAGAATGTATTCACACACAGTAATGAAGTATAGATATATGCTACAACTTGGATGAACCTTGAAAACATTGTGCAAAGTAAAAAACTGTGCAAGTAAAGAAAGGAGACACAATAAGACTCCTATTATATGATGTTCTTTACATGAAATATCCAGAATAGGCAAATTCACAGAGACTGGAAGTATGTTAGTCATTATCAGGGTCTGGGAGAGGGGGAAATGAGGAGTGATCGCACAATAGGTACCAAGCTTTCTTTTGAGGTAATAAAAATCCTCAGAATTAACTAGTGGTAATGGTTGCACACCTTTTCGAATTTACTAAATGCCACTGAGTTGGACACTTTGCAATGACCAAAATGCTATATGCATTTCATCACAAAATATAACTGGGAAAAAACATGAAAGAATATGTAAGAACTATTATTACAGTGAGAAATATTAATGAGAGGCAAGTTTAAAAGAGAAAAAAAGTAAAAAACCAACCTGGAAGTGAAGCAGGATACTGTAAAAGAATGCTCCTGGCATATGCTTCTTCTGAGGCAGGATCAAACGAAAGTGGAGACATAGGCGGTAAAAGATCCACAGCCTCAAAACAAAGAATTTGTTATTTTGAAATATACACACTTTACTCAGTACCACAATAACAATACTAAATTAACCTATGAAAGGATGATTTCTTTTTTCCATAATAAAGATAGAATTACCAAACATACAAATTATACTATAACTGTTTTAAACTAAAGAATACAACATTAGGAATAAGACTACTTTGTCCTCCAACTATGCCTCAAATGTAACAGAACCTAACATAAAGAGAAATGTCTCATTTTCTTTTTAACACAATCCATTGAATCTAAAAATATTAACCATATCATAACAACACCTTGATGAACATTCTAATATGTATTTATAAAAATCAGAGAAACCATAATATTTGAAATTTAGGCTCAGATGCAAAGATGACAAGCATACACACATATAGCATTTCTAAGTCACTTGTTACATGATAAATCAAGAGATTAAACTATTCTCCAAAAGGCAAATCAATATTACTTACTGGAGTAGAACTCTTAATTATACTGAAAGGAGACAGGCCGAGAAACTCTTTCCACTTCTTATGCCATTCTTCTTGTTTTTCAACAATAGAATGTCTTATAGTTTTGAGATCTTCTGTTATTTTATACCTATGATGGAATAAAAAATAACTTCATTCAAAACATGAATATATAAAAAGAAGGACTAAGAAAAAGTACTGAAATAAGAATTTGTGGTGTATCTGGGAAACCTCTGTAACTTCTCCTTAGTTTTGCTCCTTAAACTCTTCTTTAAAAACCTCAATTTAAAAAATTTAAGAGCCAATTTTAAAAATCGAAAAAAATAAACAAAAATAAAAAAGAATACAATGGCGCATTCCAGGTGATACAGTGGTAAAGAATCCACCTAATAATGCAAGAGGCACAAAAGATGCAAGTTCGATCCCTGGGTCGGGATGATCCCGGGGAGTAAAAAAAATGGCAACCTGCTCCACTAATCTTGTCTGGGAAATCCCAAGGACAGAGGAGCCTGGCAGGCTACAGTCCATGGGATGGCAAAAGAGTCGGACACAAGTTAGTGACTAAATACCACACCACCACCACAAAACAAAGCTAGAGAAAAGCTTAAATTATTTCATTAAGAATTATCATTCAGGGCAAGTAATATACACCAGACAAAAGAAAACTACATTAATTTTCCTTTCTACTTCATGTGTCTCTCTAGGAGTTGATGACATGGTTTTTGAGTACCAGTAAAATGTTCACATTTGTTTGCCAAAGCTACAGAGGTGTTAACTAGAGTTGTGCTGAGAAATTATCAAAACCACCCTACTCTTCCCCAAATGAAATAACAGATCTTTTTAGTGTACCTCATATGCTTCAGATCTGACAGTCTTTCTCTCTGAAATCTGGTCTCTTTTTCAAGGAAGTGAAGGTCTACTGTCAGTCTTGCTTGGTCAGTCTGACAACATTCACATTTCATTACTTTCAAGACTTCATTTAATAACCAAAAAACTGTTAAGATGTTCAATTTTCCAGCCTCATAAATATTTCCTATGTGCAACTAAGGATTCAGAAAGGAAAAAAAGTGAATTATAGATTCTTAAAATAATACAATGCTATAAGAACATATTTCTGTCTTTCACTAATATATAAAAAAGCTACAAGAGTGAAAAAAAAGCTATACAAAAATTATGTAAATAATTCTGATCCAAAGAAAACTACTGTGGAAGAATTAACGCACTGTGCTACATTTTTATATCATGCAAAAAGTTGAAAACTAGAATAAAAGAAATGGAAAGTAAAATAAAGATTGAGGAGAAAGATCAGGCTTAGATAAAGATCATAAATTCATGTTTTAACAAAAGTTGCAAGTTGAAGGGCCCCTAAAGACTGATTTCAAACTTAGACATTTTTATTTGGCCTGCACAGTTCCAAAGTTTTAAAATCATTTGAATTAGTTACCAATATTTCTAAAAAAGACTTCATCATTTCCTGGTGCTTCCCTGGTGGCTCAGTGGTTAAGAATCCGCTTGCCAATGCAAGAGACACAGGTTTGATCCCTGGGTCGGGAAGATCCCCTGGAGAAGGAAATGGCAACCCACTCTGGTGTAATTGCCTGGAGAACCCCATAGACAGAGTAGCCTGGTGGGCTACAGTCCATGGGGTTGCAAAAGAGCCAGACTTGACTTAGCAACTATACAACAACATTTTTAACTTTATCCCTATTGTTACACATAATTAGTGTACTTAATTTATATATTACCTGCCTAGCCCCTATAGGAATCTGTGTTTACAGATCCTAATTTTTTATGTACTCTGAATTTGAAGTGCCTGACATGTTACCCGTTAAAGTTCTTCAGGATCACAATATTTTATCTTTAATATCCCCTTGTTGTTGTCGTTTAATCGCTAAGTTATGTCCGACTCTTTGCAACCCCATGGACTGTAGCCTGCCAGGCTCCTCTGTCAAGGGGATTTCCCAGGCAAGAATATTGGAGTGGGTTGCCATTTCTTTTTCCAGGGCATCTTTCCAATCCAGGGATCGAACCCAAGTCTTCTGCATTGGCAGGAGGGTTCTTTACCACTGAGTCACCTGGGAAGCCCTTATATCCCCTACATGACAATAAACTCAATGCTTAATAAATTTTAATTTACTAAGAAAAAAAAAGTAGTGATTCAGATGTAAATGTCCTATAAGCAAGTGGAAAAATTTGATACAGTTTGCATTGAAGGGGAGAGACTGGAAATAACAATTTGGTAACATTAATGTACAGGAGGCTGATGAGACCATGGAACTGGGTAAGAATTTACAGATGAATTTATAACATGAGGAAGAAATGAGAGCATTAAAGGAATAATAGGGAACACATTCACTTAAAAGTCAGAGAAAAAGAAACCACTGGAAAAATGGAAACAGTAGTCTGAAACACCACAGGAAGGCACCGACACTGAGGTCACAAAAGCTAAAAGAAAAGACTTTAAAATAACAGAATCAAGATCAAAGGAAAATAAGAAAATGGAGAGTTTTTTAAAAAGAAATTTTAAAAATAAATAAATAAATAAAAAGAAATTTAGCTGTCAGAGATCATTATTGCTCTCTTTGAGAATTTATAAAGAATTAGGTACCATGTCATCTTCCTATTAAGTACCTCCTACTCTCTACACTGTACGATGTAGTACCATAAAGTGAAAGTGAAGTCGCTCAGTCGTATCCGACTCTTTGCAACCCCGTGGACTGTAGCCCACCAGGCTCCTCCATCCATGGGATTCTCCAGGCAAGAATACTGGAGTAGGTTGCCATCTCCTTCTCCAAATACCATAAAAGGTATGGGCAATTAATAAAAGTTGATAGATATAAATATACACACCCTTAACAGTACCCCTCATTATAAAAGATACACCAGATACACGCACAAAAGTAAATTCTGAAGACAGTAGAAAAAGACTGTAAGAAAAACAATATACAATACATAAAATAATTAAGTGAAAGGAGTTTTCTCAAAAGCTTCCTTAATTATCAAATGCTTACCTGACACACTTGTTTCTCAATTTTATCAAGTAAGAGGCCTGGAATATTGATAGTAATGTTAGTTCCATCTAAAGTATAATTGTTATCAAGACTAAGGACTGAACTAACAATTTCTCTCTCTTTTTCCAAAAACATAAGTGTTTCATTCACTGAAGTCCACAAAGACCGAACCTTTGAAAACAGAGACGAACAAATATTAAAGTCTACATATAATCAGTCTATACATACATTAAAGAAATATAAAACAGAAATATATGTTTTTTCCCCAGGAACAAATGAAATATTCCTGGAATGGCTTCTGATAACAAAATTAACTATTTTAACAGTCCAAAAGCACTGATACTACTTTCAACATCACTTTAAAGAATTTCTAAGGAGAATCTAGACCATTATGATTTGGAAAACATACCTAAGAAACCTTACATTATCAAGATGCAATTAGCATTTCCTGTATTCTGATATGCCATCAATCTAAAGGAGATTTTTCAAGAAGAATCGAAGATTTTCAGGAGAAAAAAGAAAACACTATATATCAACTTTTAAGAGTCATTCAAGTTTCAAAGAGTTAAAATGTCAAAAACTATGTATTAACCTATGTTTATTAAATTAATTATAAGAAATGTTCATAGCACTCATTTGTAATAGTCAAAAACTGTAATAAATCCAAAGAATTACCTTGAGTAAAAAGAGTATATTTTGTTATAAAATAGAAAATCAGACAGCAAAGAGAATGAACACATACAACAACATGGATAAAACAACATTAAGTGAAAGAAGCTGAATACAAAAGAATGTATTTTATACACGTACATTTATGGGTCAAACAGGCAAAACTAATCTTTAGTGTAAGAAGTGAGGACAGCCGTTTATTCTTGGAAGGAAACAGCTGTGAATGAAAGAGGGTTCAATGATCCTGGGTGATGGTAACATTCTGTTCCTCAAGTTAAATGCTGGTTACATGGATGTGTTCACTTTGTGAAATTTTGTCAAGCTACATAAAACGATTTTTACATGTTTTTGCATGTATGTTATTATGCCTCAAAAGAATTTACAAAAGTAGAGAGGAGGAGGGAAAATATAATAATTATATCTGTGTTAGTGTCTGTGTCTTCTCACAGCACAAAGAAAAGTTGTTCCACAAAGGAAGTCTCATTGGCTGGCCAACTAGAGATCTCACAGGATGGCATTTCCTTGGTGAATGTACAAAGATCCAGGATCTAGATTTTTCAAGTCTAGAAATTTTATCTTGTCAATGGCTCAAAGTTGACTCAGGCAAACTAAATATTACCTAAACTCAAGAGAGATAGCTGTGAACTTCTCTGGTGGTACCATGGCTAAGACTCTGCACTCCCAACACAAGACCCCAGGTTCAATCCCTGGTCAGGGAGCTAGATATCATAAGCCACAACTAAAGATCTTACATACCACAACTAAGACAAATATATAAATTTTTTTGCTATGAAAACTCTTAATGGATTTCATACCAACCAAACCTATTAAGCTTACAACCAAAGATACTACATTCAACAACAGGAATATTCATATTCACTGAACTAGTAGCTCCATAAAGGAAGTGACTCTGCCTGTTTTCTTCAATGCTCTAGCCCATAATATCTAGAAGAATGTCTAGCAAGTGATCAATAAATAGTCACTGAATTAATGAATAATTATTTCCTGTTGTTGTTTAGTCACTAAGTTGTGTCTGACTTTGCAATTCCATGGACTGCAGCACGCCAGGCTTCCCTGTCCTTCACTATCACCTGGAGTTTCCTTGGATTCATGTCCATTGAGTCAGAGATGCCACCCCAGTCTCCTTTTGCCACCAATCGTTCCCAGCATCAGAGTCTTTTCCAATGAGTCGGCTCTTTGCATTATGGGGTCAAATTACTGGAGCTTCAGCTTCAGTCCTTCCAGTGAATATTCAGAGTTGATTTCCCTTAGGATTGACTAACTTGATCTCTTTGTAGCCCAAGGGACTCTCAAGAGTCTTCTCCAACATCACAGTTCAAAAATCATCAATTCTTCAGTGCTCAGCCTTCTTTATGCTCCAACTCTCACATCCATACATGACTACTGGAAAAACCACAGCTGTGACTATCCAAACCTGTGTTGGCAAAGTAATGTCTCTGCTTTTTAATATACTGTCTAGGTTTATCATAGCTTTTCTTCCAAGGAGCAAGTGTCTTTTAATTTCATGGCTGCAGTCACCATCTACAGTGATTTTGGAGCCCAAGAAAATAAAATCTGACACTTTTCCACTTTTCCCCCTTCTATTTGCCATGAAGTGATGGGGCCAGATTCATGATCCCGAGGAGGGGTCATGAGTGCCCGAGGAGGGCACTCACCTTTTCCAATGACAAACTGCCTAAAAAGTCAAATCAATACTCCAAAGCAGCTTGGTGACTATAGAATAAGAACAAAGAGCTTGGGAGAGATTTCATCCAAATACAAAGACCTAAGAAAACATTCCTACCACACATTTGTTAAAGCCAACCTCTGAAAGCCTCAGATCATCTGTATCTACCAGATTCCTCATGCCAGTCTCAATGTGACTTCTCATTTTTCTTCCAAACTTACCACTATCCTCCTTCAAATCAAGTATTTTTTGCTTAGATAAATATTACTGATTAAGTTACAATCAAACTGAACCTTCCTTGTTAGAGTGAAGATTTTAAATTAACCAAATTTAAAACTGTGTTGTATACGTTTAGTCTGATTGATTATAAGCTAATTTTTTCCATTATATTCAAGTGTCTGAAAGGCACCTGATACTTTTATGTCCAAACAACTTATGAGTTAAAAAAAAGTATAACACTGTTACAAAAAGACACATACATGAGTTCAGTTAAGTAAGTAAACACTGCGTATCACAAAAGAAAGATTAAATTTCTCCCTTCAAAAGTTGTCTCACCTTTTGAATTTTCTCTTGTATATTACTTTGGTCATCACAGGGTTCCATTCTAGTTAAAAATTAAATAATCTCATTAGTCAATTAAAAAAATAATGGTAACTTACCATCCAAAGAGCTAATTAATCTGCAAACCCAGCCACTAACCACCATTCTTATTGAAAGCAAAAATAAAACTCAACCTCAAAGCTACCATAATTTATTAGAAGAACTGGTCTAGGGACCTATGTTTTTGTCTTATTATCAACTAGGTATTGAAATGTTGTTTTAACTAATCTCATTTTTTTTTTAACCTATAACATGCAGGAGATTAAACTAATATTTCATGCAACTTTCAGTTCTAGAAGTCACTTACTTGTTTATTTGGTTTTGCAGTCCCATACATTCTGATCTCAAATTTCGTACCTGTTTAACTGACAATCTGCAACAAAACATACAAAATGACAGCTATAATTCTACTACAACAGTATAGCCCACTTTGATATTTCCCCCCATTTCATATCTTTACTCAAGGCCTCTAAGGGCTACTCTTCCAAATATACCAGTAACTAGTCTTAAAGGGGCTCTAGACTCCCTTTAAGAATTACAAGAGTGATTTAACATTTAGGCAGCACCATTGAGATAAACCAGAACTTCTTGGTTCATAAACTCTGACTTCAGGTAAAAATGCTGGAGGTCAGACTATTCTGCTCTCTTATCACATTCTTAGAAGACAAATTTAAATGTTACCTAAGGCAGGCAACATTGCAGTTTTAAGGAGATTTAAAAGGATTTTGTACCTTTCGTAATAGATAAGACAGCATTTAAAAAGCTGTCTTACTACAGCTGCTTATAATTATTAAAAATCGGACATAATCTATATCTTGGGAGTAAGAACCTTGCCTCTTTGTTTAATGCTGTAGAACCAATGTATAACCAATATCTGGCACACAGAGGTACAAAATTTAAAAAAATGTGCTACAAAACAGACTCTGTGGACTCTGTGGGAGAAGGCAAGGGTGGGATGTTTTGAAAGAACTGCATGTATATTATCTATAGTGAAACATATCACCAGCCCAGGTGAGATGCATGAGACAAGTGCTCGGGCCTGGTGCACTGGGAAGACCCAGAGGAATCAGGTGGAGAGGGAGGTGGGAGGGGGGATCGGGATGGGGAATACATGTAACTCCATGGCTGATTCATGTCAATGTATGACAAAACCCACTGAAATGTTGTGAAGCAATTAGCCTCCAACTTAAAAAAAAAAAAAAAGTGCTGAATAAATGAACATAAATAAATATAAGACAATACAAAATGGCTAAAGAAACCAGTATACCTTCTCAACAGATGCTAAGTAGACGTTAAAAGTAATACATCAAAGCAATATGGAAAAATTTACAGAATAAAATATCAAGAGAAAAAAGGATACAAATTAGAATAAGCATTATAATTACAGCTTAAAATTTTATTTCCATGTTTAAAAGAAAACACCTGAAGAAACTGAATTTTTTAACAAAACTGATACCGTCCTTTTCTCTAAACTTTCATTTACAGCATGCCTAAAGTACTTTATTCAGAAGTGATCAGGCTTTAAAATGGAAAGATAAAAGGTAGTTGCCAAGGGGTTTTGAGGTATTCATGAAATACTGCCACCGAAGGGATACTGATGACATTTGTTCAAAAAGAAAGGAATTTTCATTTTCTAACTATGAAAGTATTACTTACTGTGCATTTTCTTGATATTTTCGGGTAACACAATCTTCTCTTTGCAAAACTTGTAAAAATCTATTACGTGCTACAAGGCATCTGGCAAGGCATATGTGCAAATCTTGTGGTTTCACATTAAATGTCTCTGTAAAACGTACAGAAGAATCTACATGGAAGATAAAATACAGAAAACTTAAGACTTGTGCTGTGCTTAGTTGCTCAGCCATGTCTGACTCTGCAACCCATGGACTGTAGCCCGCCAGGCTCCTCTGTCCATGGGGATTCTCCATGCAAGAATACTCAAGTGGGTTGCCATGCCTTCCTCCAGGGGATCTACCCAACCCAGGGATCGAACCCAGGTCTCCAACATTACAGGCAGATTTTTTACCGTCTGAGCCACAAGAAAAGCCCAAACTTAGACTTACAAGCTAATAAATATAAAAAATGTGAGACTGTTGAGAAATTAACAACCTCACTTAACTAACAACTCCTTAACAGCTGGTATGACAATACACACAAAGATACAACTCATTTCAAAAGGATGACCTGTTTTTTAAAGAAGGCAACTAAAAAAGGATTGGGGACTTCCCAGATGGTACAGTGGTAAAGAATCTGCCTGCCAATGCACAAGATATAACAGAGAAGGGTTCAATCCCTGGGGCAGGAAGATCACCTGGTATAGGAAATGGCAACCCACTCCAGGATTTTTGCCTGGAAAAATCCATGGACAGAAAGAGCCTGGCAGACTATGGTCCATGGGGTCGCAAAGAGTGTGACATAACTAAATAACTGAACATACACAAAAAAGGATTATCTGAAGTTATTTTACATAACTAAAAATTTTTAGAATCCATCTGCCCCAAATAATTCTTATTATCACAGCACAAAACATCCATGAACAAATATGCTGTTACACGTAAGCAACTTCTTAACACACCTTTTAACAACAAAGGAAGAAAATTAGAAGGGATGAGATGAGATCACATCACCTTCATTGCTGCCATCAGCCTCCTTTTCTTCCTAGTAAGACCAACAGGACAAGACAACCAAATAAAACCAATCTCCATTTCTCAAGTAATTCTTGGCTATGTTACTAATGATCAAAGCAGACCCTGAGAAAAATCCATCCAAACATTTTAGAGTTAGGGTTTTCACATGCAATAAAATGTAATAAATCCTACTTTAAGATGGCTAATACAATAAAGATAGGTATGCTGGAAAACAATGGCCTCACACCATACTTAACACGACAAATCCATGTGCTAGATCATCCACAAAAAAATAATGAAAAATTCTAAATATTTAACAGATGAGTTTATTTGATATAGAAGTCATCCATAAACTGAATATGATCAATGAAACTGCTTTAAATAAGAAATCGGATAACCCATGCCTAAAAGTTTTATGTACAATAAGCTCTTGCCAAATCCAAATACACATGATTCATATAAAATAGTTTGGGTTACATGTAACTAAAAAGAATCATCTAATAGAAAAACTGGTAAAGTGCTCATGCCACATTAAATTTAAAATATGCAAATACTTATAAAATGAGATCACATGTACATGTTCTAAAAAACCATGCAGGGAAGATAAACTAGAAAAAATGTACTGTACATATATATATATATATATATATATATATACACACAAATACATATACGCACAAACAAAATATGTATTTTGAACACATACAAAATGATATATGTATAGTTTGTCATTGTACAATTGTTTTTATAGCAAAATATTAGGGGGGAAAAAAAGCCAAATTTCTGTCAGAACAAATGTGTGATTAAATATACTACGACACACCCATTCAAATACCCAGTTCCAAAGAGAGAAAAAGAATAAGATCTATGAACTGATATGTGATGATCTCCAATATACACTGTTACATAAAAAACGACAAGACTGAAAACCATCACCATTTAGGGTTTAAAAAAAATATATACATATTTGCCATAATTACTGATTCCAATGGCTGCTTCTGAAAAGGGTATCTAGGTAACCTAGATTATAGATAGCACCTCTATAGATATCATTAGACAGTCAGAGGTGGAAGACACTTTTCACTTTCTGAATTTTGAATCATGAGAATGAATACTTACTCAAAATAATTAAAATGTACAATATGACACTAAAAAACAAACAACAACAAACACCTAAAAGAAATCAAAATGTCAGCAGTGGTTATCTCTAGAAACTGGAAGATGGGATTGTACTGCACCAACGTTTTCATCTTTTTCCTCCCATGTTTTAAGAGCATAACTCAATTAAACAGAGAAGCATATTTAATAAGCTACAAATGGCATTAAGTCTTAGCGTAAAAATCCAGTATTTTGTTTCTAAGATTTAGCAAATAGATAAAATCCCTTTAAAACACAATTTCAAACCAAAATATTCCAACACATTGCCAGTAGCCAAACTAAACCTCTAACAAATTCAATACAGCATTTAATACAATGTATTATAGGCAAACTATTACCTGTAGGTCTAACCTGGCCCATTTTTGTGAGGTCAGCAAACTAGGCCTGCTTCCTACATTTTTAAGGAGTTGTATTACAAAAAAAATTTTTTTTAATTCACAGAGAGGTGTATGTGACAGAGACTCTTATGTGGTCCACAAAGTGTAAAATATTCACTATCAGATCTCACATAGAAAATGTTCCCCAACCCTGTATTAGAACATAATAATCCACATTGCTACTTATGTTCATTATGACAGGATTTCAAACTGCAGTTCCAATAAAATATTAACTATTTGCCTTTTGAGATAAAGTAATATCTTTATCTTACCTTATTTTATTAAACTCTCTTGATGATTTACAAATTATAAGAAATAATAAAAACCAAGAATCAAAGTGAAAAAAAAAAATCTTACCATAAGCTTAACTTACTTTTAGAATGGGTTTTTATATATTTTACTGCAACAAATCTTGCAAAATGATACATTATATGTGTAAACTTAGGACCAACCGGAAATAGAAATAGTGAACCAACAACTTGAGGAAAGCTACTTCCACATTCGGCCTATGATAAAAAGAAATAAGACAATTTAAAGACATTATCAACAATAACCTTTATATTTACATCATACTGTTTTTGAAGCACAACAGGATTTATCAGAATTATTCCATTTGAACCACAAGGTAAATTTTTGAATCTTTCTAAGCTCTTGGTAGATTCAGTCACAAAAAGTAATTAAAATTTAAAGTCACAATTATTGATACTATTTGGGGACACAAGCTAAAATAATCTACAGTCAAAATTATTTCTTTAAATAAAAACTGTTATATAAATTCCTAAGAACTCAAAAATCTATTTCCAAGGCACTTAGTCAAAAAACTGGTTTCCCAGAAACAGAGTCCCAATCAAACCACCAGAAAGTATTATTCTGATATTTCTTATTTATACTGTTAGCATAAAAGCATTAAGAAGATTTCACCTTTAAAAAAATTAATGTACCTCAATAAAGCCAGACCAAAAATTGCAGTTTTCAACTGCTCAAAAGTTTGCATCTTTTGTGGAGAAGGAAACGGCAACCCACTCCAGTATTCTTGCCTGTCAAAGTCCATGGACAGAGAAGCCTGGCAGGCTACAGTCCATGGGGTTACATGACTGAGCATGTGTGCACGAGGGTGGAGGGAGATGGGTTGGTAGCAATAAACTGGTAGAACTTAAAAAAAAAAAAGTTTGCATCTTTTAGAAAGAGAATACTTACAGAAATCTTTTTTAACCATTCACAGAAAAGTTTTCGGAATTCAACATCACGTTTTTGATCAAATGGAGGCCAACAATGTCTTTAAAACAAAAATAAAAATTAGAATTATGAACAAAAAAACAAACTCAGCAAAACTTTAAAATATCAAATTTATCTTCTAGCTCAGCTGATAAAGAATCTGCCTGCAATGCAGGAGATCCTGGTTCAAGTCCTGGGTCAGGAAGATCCACTGAAAAAGGGATAGGCTACTGACTCCAGTATTCTTGGGCTTCCCTGGTGGCTCAGCTGGTAAAGAATCCACCTGCAATGTGGGAGACCTGGGTTTGGTCCCTTGATTGGGACGATCCCCTGGAGAAGGGAATGGCCACCCACTTCAGTATTCTTGCCTAGAGAATTACATGGACTACAGTCCATGGGTTACAAAAAAGTCAGACACAACTGAGTGACTTTCACTCACTCACTCACTAGAAACATTATTGCTAAATCAAGGTTAACATTGTTGGCTTAAAACTCAACATTCAGAAAACAAAGATCATGGCATCTGGTCCCATTACTTCATGGCAAATAGATAGGAAAACAATGGAAACAGTGACAGACTTTGTTTTCTTGGGCTCCAAAATCACTGCAGATGTTTACTACAGCCATGAAATTAAGACACTGCTCCTTGGAAGAAAAGCTATGACCAACCTAGACAGCATATTAAAAAGCAGAGACATTACTTTGCCAACAAACGGCCATCCAGTCACAGCTATGGTTTTTCCAGTAGTCACATATGGATGTGAGAGTTGGGCAATAAAGAAAGTTGAGTGCCAAAGAATAGATGCTTTTGAACTATGGTGTTGGAGAAGATTCTTGAGAGTCCCTTGGACTGCAAGGAGATCCAACCAGTCAATCCTAAAGGATATCAGTCCTGAATATTCATTGGAAGGACTGATACTGAAGCTGAAACTCCAATACTTTGGCCACCTGAGGCAAAGAACTGACTCACTGGAAAAAACCCTGATGCTGGGAGGGATTGGGAGCAGGAGGAAAAGGGGACAACAGAGGATGAGATGGTTGGATGGCATCACCAACTCGATGGACATGAGTTTGAGCAGGCTCCAGGAGTTGGTGATGGACAGGGAAGCCTGGCATGCTGCAGTCCATGGGGTCATAAAGAGTCAGACATGACTGCACGACTGAACTGAAGGCTAACATTTCATAAATTTCAACTAAAGAGAGACGAACCTGTAAGAAATGAGGTCTTTTTCTTTATAAACATCTATAGGGTTAAACTCCATTTAGTGTGAATAATCAATGAATACATAGGGATGAATACAGGAATGAATCACTATTAAAATTACTGAAAATTAAAGAAGACAACATGCTCAGTGAATTTAGTAGGCTAACACATAAAGATGGTGTAAATAAATTAGTATGCTAAGCCTGGGGCAAAAGAGAGAAACATAATGGTTACACATGAAAAGCACAAGAAGATTATGGCCTAAGAGATCATGACCCCTAGGGATAACCCATATCACAGTCAGCAGGTGCTACTGTTTCGTGGACAAACAAGATATAAAATTATTAAAAATTCAGTTTTAGTAGAAAATAATGGATTTTAAAATTTGCCTATTGCTTCCCACTGATAATCAGTTTTACCTAAATTTTTATCCTGAGGCATAATTATTTGCTGAGGGAGGGCCCCATATTTTTCATATTTCTATAGCATAACATACCTTGTGTATTCACAGAAAAAAAATTAAGTATGCATAGAAAAAAGATTAAAAGCGTGAAATAACAACAGTGATATTCTCTAGTTGGGTTTAAGAATGATTTTTACTTCTTTAACTTTTTCTGTATTTGCTGAATTGCTTTAAATAAGCTCTATTTTGTTTATAATGAGGAAAAAAATCCAAAAATCTATTTTTATCTGAGCAGGGGAAGCCCTATAACTTAGTGATGCCTGAATGCCTGCTAAGTTGCTTCAGTTGTGTCTGACTCTTTATAACCCTCTGGACTATAGCCTGCCAGGCTCCTCTGTCCACGGATTCCCCAAGCAAGAATACTGGAGTGGGTTGCCATGCCCTCCTCCAGGGGATCTTCTCAACCCAGGGACTGAATCCCCATCTCCTGCATTGCAGTCAGATTCTTTACTGCTAAACCACCAGGGAAGCCCATAACATAGTGATAGGGATTTCCAAAATATGTTTCAAATATACTTGCTCTCTTGGTCACTCAAAACTTTAACTGAAGGCAAGACTATTAAATTATCATCAATAAAAACAATGGTCTTACTATTTAAGAGAATGATGATGCAACATAAATATTAAAACAAATCTGAACATTTTTTTATGACAGATGAAACCCACCTACAAAATAACTTGGAATCAAGGTGATTATTCATTTTTATCTCTTCTTATACTATTTAATATACAACAGTATAGGATAATAGGCTAAACTTAATAGGAATGATCTTTGTCTATAGCACTTGACACTTCTGTATATCACGACAAAAATAATAACGATTTACAGAGATTTTAGGAAATAAAAACAAGACAAAACAAACAATACTGCCTATTAAAAAAAGGAGTAAAAAAAATATGACTGGAAAAAAAATATGACTGGAAAAAAGAAAAAAAAATATGACTGGAAAAAAAAGGAGTAAAGGAGTAAACAACAAAAGGCGTAAACAACAAAAATTAAAACAAAATTAACTGCATGGCTAGATTAGTATCAATTAATTATTCTAATAATTAAGACTATGAAGAAGTTAGTAATTATATATGTATAAAATGAAATCCATGTTACTTATGAAATCTACCATGAATTCAAGTACTGAAAAAAAGGACTCAGATTAATAAAGGTTAAGTACTAAATCTGTAAGACCCAAACCTAACTTTTTTTAACATACATTAAAAATAATAGTTGAAAGCCAAAGTTGAAATTCTCGCCATATCAAGTCATAATCCCTTTTTTAAGTCCCTTACAAAAATAAAATGAAATAACTTTTACTCACTTGAAAACTTCTTTGGTGAGAGACTTGTCAAGTGTTTGAAACAAAAAATAAGAAACTATGTGAAAGGCATCACGGTTCAGCTTGTCAAACATGTTTCTATGGTTTAAAAGGAAATAAAGGCAGGAAAAAAGAAAAGGTTAATAAAACTAAGTATCACAAAAAGCTGTGTAAGAGTTTGACACAAATTAGTTTTCATTCTGTTCAGAGGTCAAAACCAATTAATTTTTCTATTTCATGTATACATTTATAACCAATTAAGAAACACATGCAAGATTTATATTTTGGTTCTGAAAATAATGATCAAACAGAAGAAACCTGGTAGAACTTTATTTCAATGAACACATTCTACAAGAAAAGGAAAGTCTAATTAGGCGAAGAGAAAACCATGGCTAAGATAAGTGAAGATGTGATACCAACCAACATTTTCTGACAATAAAAGACTTAAAATTTATTGACTTTATTAGTCAGGTATTATTTTAACTAAGCCTTTTACAAGCAGTAACTCAGCTAATCTCCACTAATCATATGAAGTTAGTAACTGTACCTGCACCTCTAACATGAAGTATTTTATCTAATCTCAACAACATTAGAAAGTAGTTTGATTTTCCTCATAATACAGATGACATAACAAATAGATCTAAGTACCTCGGTGAACACAAAAAGCTATTTTCCTGAAATAAACTTTTTGAGTTGAAAAAATGTTAACATTAAAATTCCCACACTTAACATTTTGTCAAACAACCCTTATCCTTGGAATGTTTCTATTCCTCAAAAAAATACAAATAAAGTTCCTACCTCCTTATCATCTCTCAAACTTGTTATTTTTTTTCCACATAGTACCCTGTTCTCTTCAACACTTCTAATTTTTTAAAAGATAACCTTTAAAGAAAGGTTTGTTCACCCACTAGACTAAAATTTTATAAGGTAAAAGTTTATGTTTGCTCTGTTCATCACTGTATACCCAGGTCCAATACTGTCTTCAATTAATATCTGTTGAGTAAACAAGTGAAAGAATCACCTTTTCTTTCCATTCCCACTGCCTTCCATAGTTTAGGTCCATCTAACTGCAAAGCCATTCTAATCTATTCTCTGTAATGCAACCAGCATGATTTTTCCAAAATGCAAATCTCTGGGGCAAATATCTAGGAATGGAATTACTTGATCATATGTTAAGTGTACATTTAACTTTACAAGCAAAGTGACTATGCAATTACATACTCACAGAAACTAGGAACACATAAAATTTTGCACCAACATACATAAGTGAATCTGGGACTTCCCTGATGGTCCAGTGGTTAAGACTCCACACCCCACTGCACAGGGTGTGAGTTCAATCCCTGGCCAGGAAACTAAGATCCCTGCATGCTGCATGATACACACAGCACAGCGAGCGTGTGTGTGTGTGCGCGCACACACATACGTGCATATTAAAAAGCAAAGACATTACTTTGCCAACAAAGTTCCATCTAGTCAAAGCTATGGCTGTTTCCAGTAGTCATGTATGAATGTGAGAGTTGGACTATAAAGAAAGCTAAGTGGCAAAGAATTGATGCTTTTGAACTGTGGTGTTGGATAAGACTCTTGAGAGTCCCTTGGATGGTATGGAGATCAAACCAGTCAATCCTAAAGGAAATCAGTTCTGAATATTCATCGAAAGGACTGATGCTAAAGCTGAAACTCCAATCCTCTGGTCATCTGATGAGAAGATCTGACCCTGACCCTGATGCTGGGAAAGACTGAAGGCAGGAGGAGAAGGGGACGACAGAGGATGAGATGGCTGAATGGCATCACCGACTCAATGGACATGAGTTTGAGCAAGCTCCGGGAATTGGTGATGGATAGGGAAGCCTGGCACACTACAGTCCATGGGGTCACAAAGAGTTGAACACTACTGAGTGACTGGACTGAACTGAACTGATGTGTGTGTGTGAGAGAGAGAGAATCAAATAAGTAAATCAATTTTTTTTTAATTTTAAAGCAAATTTGATGCCACATTCATGCTTAAAGAATTTTAAAGGGGATGTCTGTTTCAAAAGAGTAGATTCCTTCCACTAACCAACTGAGATGACTCTAAAGACATGGTGAGGGAGGTGGGGGGTGGAAATCTATGACAGTGTTTTAAAAAAAAAAAAAGATCACTGAACCAATACTTGACTGATTTTAGTTAATTTTCAAAGGCAGAAAGCAGACTGCAATTGTATAAACCAGAGCAGAGAAAAAACTAAGATTGCCAAAACAATAGAGAGGATACACTGACAATGGGAATCATTCTCAGTGGAGGCCTCAAGAAGATTTAAACTTCTCTGCCATATTTTGAGGCATCAAATCATGTGAGATAAATGGAACATTTATTAATACATAATCATAACTTGATAAATGCTACCCACTGGATGTCAATTTTTAGGCTAGAGGAAGCATTTCTATATATAAATAGTAACTTCTAAACAAATAGTTCCCAAGGAAAACTATTATAATTACAGCTCTAAACCTTGACAGCAGGTGCTCACTTGTATCCCACCAACTGGAGCTCTGTCAGGCTCCTCTATCCATGGGACTCTCCAGGCAAGAAGGCTGGAGTGGGTTGCCATTTCCTTCTCCAGGGGATCTTTCCCACCCAGGGTTCCAATCAGTGTCTCTTACATTGGCAGGCAGACTCTTTACCACTGAGACACCGGGGAAGCCCTACACCCATTTTACTGATGAGGAAACTAAGGCACAGAGAGGTTAGGAGTCCCTAAACCTTGACAGTAAAACAATTTTAATACAGCTGAAAAAGTCAAGAAAAGGGAGAAGGCAAAAGAGGGTAGGTAAGTGTAGATGAACTAATTTTCGTATAAAGAAAAAGCTACCTTCATTGTGAAATTACTTAGCGGGAAATCAAGAGATATTTTTAAGGTTAATACATCAAGAAATAGAGGACTAAGCACATTCTTTAAATATTGACAGGATTGAAGAAGGATGGAAATAACGTAATTACAAAAGTCAAGAAGATTGAGAATAGGAAATAGTCTACGCATCCCAAATTTTCGTTGGCCTTCAGTGGGAAAGATAATACTGGGTAAAGTTGCTAAGACACAAAAATATAAACAAAGTTTCTTTTTATAATGAGACTCTAACATTTGTAGCAGAGTAGGAAGAAGCGTTTACTTTTCAGCTTAGTACCACTCTCCACTGTTTTTTTGCTAACTGTGGCGTCCTTCAGTCTAATCCAAGAAGTAAAAAGTATAAACTAAAGAGCAACTAATTTAAAAGGCCGCCTTGAGTCCTAACGGCGTTTCTATACAATGGAAGGCGTTGGCTCTCCGTTACCAAATCGCCACCTCTCCCTCGACTTCACAGACCAAGCAACTTCACGACCAAACCAGGCCTAAGCCGCCCCTCCAGTTTCCGCCCCAGCTGCAGACTCTACTCCCTACAAAGTGCTCCCGGCAAGGTTCCATAACGGACAGTCCCTGCCACCAGGTCAGCTGCCGCTGGGAGCAGAGGCTTTCTAGCCAGTGCCGGACCACAGTAACAGACTACTTAATTATCAACCCGCCGGTCCCAACTGGGCGGGCTGCGCCAACGTAACCAGTCTCAGACTCCCCCGCCGCCAGCCCAGTCCTCCTTACACTCCGAAGTGCGTGTGTGACAAGGTATTTCCACAGGCTATGGTCTCCAGACAAGAATCGAAGCCGAGCGCCTGCAGGTACATCCACAGACGCGCCTTTTCGAAAGAAGTGACCCAGGCCGAGCTCATCTTCGCGGTACGCAGGGCCCGGCAAAGGAAGAAAGCACAGGCTCCAGAGACTGAGAGGGCCCTTCAGGCTTCTTCCCTAAGGGCAGCCTAAGGTGGCGGCGGCCCCTCCATTGCCACCACTTGATCCTCTCTCGTTCGGAGCCATTTCGCCTCAAATGGCCTCAAGTAGCCTGAAATTCTAAAGTCTCGGGAAAACAGAACCTCTAACTGTAGTACCGCACAGCGGCCAGAGCGGACACCACAAACCGAGCGTCCCGCGCTTCCGGAAGACGCCGCCTGGCTGCCGGGGGAAGAAGGGCTTCCTGGGAGGATTGTATCTCCCGCCATGCAATGCGCCCCCCCCTCGGTCTTTTCCGCGCAAGACCGGCGGAGAACAACAAGACCCACAAGGCTTTGCGGGGCTGGCGAACTTTCTCGCGCTTGCAAGGCATTCTTTGACTTCGCGCTTTCTGACTCTTTTTGTCTGAGCTCTGTGGTTCCTTTTGCTCGTATATGCCTACTACGTCAGATAAAAACCACAGGCCGTAAAAAAAAAAAAACCCACAGGCTGTTATTCAGTGTAGTAGAAAAAGCACTGGATTTCTTCCTCAGCTATTCTCAGTATATGTGTAACCCTGAGCATGTCGCCTTATTTCTGAGCGTCGGGTCTATTATTAATAAAATCTTCTATGCCCTAAAGTGCTGAATGTTCCTTTCAGCTCCTTGCTTTAAGAAATCTGGCTCTCCCCTATGCATATACCTTTCCGCTGCAGCCCTGTCAATTGATGATTGCTTTCTCCTCTACATGCCATGTATCAATACAACGGGACCTGGAAATGGGATGGGCATCCTACTTATTTCTCATCACCAGTTTAGGCATTATTGCCTTACTAAAACCACCAGCTTATTTGAAATGTATGCTGTCACCCTCAATTCTTCCTTGTGGATCAAGTATAAGATCTCCAGGTTGCTGGACCTCGTTCTGAAATTTCGCATTTAATTCTGTCTCTCCAACGTTACTACTGTATAATTTTTGATGATTTCAGTATCCATGTAGGTGACCTTTCCAATGCCCCGGCCTCTCAGTTTCTTGACCTCTTCTCAGCACCCTTGCCCCCTTCTCTTTGCCAGGTTTATCTGGCAGAAAACAAATCGCTGTTAAATCAGTTTTCTGCCTACTCCATACCTGAAGTTTAGCAGTTAAATGCAATCATGATGCCTGGTGTCATCCAAAATTCATGACAACTGAAGTAGACTCTTAGGCCTGCCCGCTCCACCCTACTATTTTTCCCAAATCTCACTCTCCATACAATTATACATATATTCTTCCCTCTCTTAATCTTCCAGTAACCTTCTTCCTGCTCATTCTCAATGATGAACTTTGTTCTTAGTTGATAGATGCTTCTCAAAAAGAACCTCCATCAACAATTTACCAGTCTGCCTGTATCTATGCCCATATAGACTTCCTTGTCTCGTTAATCTGGGTGATTCAGGGTGTAGCTACCTAAGACCAAGCCTCTCCTCATTCAATATGCTGTATTCCTTTTCTCACACTCAAGGAATTTGCTCCAGTATTTGTCCTCTACTCTCTCCCGCATCATCAGTTCTCCCCTCAGTATATAAGCATGCTGTTAATATCTTTCATCATTTAAAAAAAAACTTTCCTTTGACCTCAGTGGTTTGCAAGCTGCCAGTCCATTTCTTATCACAGTGAAACTTCTCCAAAAAGTTACCTATATGCACCTCACTGCTAGTGGTAACTTACAAAAGCCACTTGAATCAATTAGTGTTCTTTTGTTGCAGGCAGCAAAAATGACTCTGAAGGGGTTTTATTGGGGGGATGTTGAAGAGCATATATAAAAAATGGAAAGACCAAATATTAATAAGTCTCAGGAAATGGCAGGCCCATGTGTCACTTCAGTCAAGATTTATATCCCAGGCAGTCCAATTTACTTTTTAAAAATAGCTTAATGTGTTTATATAGGTGAACATCCTCATAAATCAAATGAGAAATAAATGTTTTCCATCTATTCCAGAAACTTCTCCTTTCCTGAAAAGTCACCACTATCCTCATTTTTTAAATAATAACTTCGTAGCATTTTCTTGTAGTTTGACTGTTCATCCTTCCCTAGACACTATAATTCAGTCTTGCTTTTTTTAATTTGTCTTGCCTTTTTTAAAAAAGAGTCTTTCCAGGGTTTCTTTGTTTTAAATTTTTATGGGATTATAGTTGATTTACATTGTTGTTGTAGTTTCAGATATTCAGCTAAGTGATTCAGTTATACATATATCCATTGCTTTTCTTAGATTATTTTCTTTTTTTTTTTTAGATTCTTTTCTCATATAGGCCATTACAGAGTATCGAATAGAGTTCCCTCTGCTATACAACAGGTTTTTATTAGTTACCTATTTTATATATAAGGGCTTCCCTTGTGGCTCAAGCAGGTTTGACCCACGGGTCCAGAAGATCCCCTGGAGAAGGAAATGGCAACCCTCTTCGGTTTTCTTGCCTGGGAAATCCCATGGACAGAGGAGCCTAGTGGGCTAGACTATGAAGTTGCAAAGAGCCGGACACGACTTAGTGACAGACTTTCACTGTCACTTTTCACTTAATTTTATATATCAGTTCAGTTCAGTTCAGTCACTCAGTCGTGTCCGACTCTTTGCAACCCCATGAATCGCAGCATGCCAGGCCTCCCTGTCCATCACCAACTCCCAGAGTTTATTTCAACCTCATGTCCATCGAGTCGGTGATGCCATCCAGCCATCTTATCCTGTCGTCCCCTTCTCCTCCTGCCCCCAATCCCTCCCAGCATCAGAGTTTTTCCAATGAGTCAACTCTTCGCATGAGGTTGCCAAAGTACTGGCATTTCAGCTTAAGCATCAGTCCTTCCAATGAACACCCAGGACTGATCTCCTTTAGGATGAACTGGTTGGATCTCCTTGCAGTCCAGGGGACTCTCAAGAGTCTTCTCCAACACCACAGTTCAAAAGCATCAATTCTTCAGTGCTCAGCTTTCTTCACAGTCCAATTTTCACATCCATACATGACCACTGGAAAAACCACAGCCTTGACCAGACAGACCTTTGTTGACAAAGTAATGTCTCTGCTTTTTAATATGTTGTCTAGGTTGGTCATAACTTTCCTTCCAAGGAGTAAGTGTCTTTTAATTTCATGGCTGCAATCACCATCTGCAGTGATTTTGGAGCCCAAAAAAATAAAGTCAGCCACTGTTTCCACTGTTTCCCCATCTATTTTCCATGAAGTGATGGGACCGGATGCCATGATCTTAGTTTTCTGAATGTTGAGCTTTAAGCCAACTTTTTCACTCTCCTTTCACTTTCATCAAAAGGCTTTTTAGTTCCTCTTCTCTTTCTGCCATAGGGTGGTGTCATCTGCATATCTGAGGTTATTGATATTTCTCCCGGCAATCTTGATTCCAGCTTGTGCTTCCTCCAGCCCAGTGTTTCTCGTGATGTACTCTGCATATAAGTTAAATAAGCAGGGTGACAATATACAGCCTTGATGTACTCCTTTCCCTATTTGGAAACAGTCTGTTGTTCCATGTCCAGTTCTAACTTGCTTCCTGACCTGCATGCAGGTTTCTCAAGAGGCAGATCAGGTGGTCTGGTATGCCCATCTCTTTCAGAATTTTCCAGTTTATTGTGATCCACACAGTCGAAGGCTTTGGCATAGTGAATAAAGCAGAAATAGATGTTTTTCTGGAACTCTCTTGCTTTTTCAATGATCCAGCGGATGTTGGCAATTTGATCTCTGGTTCCTTGGCCTTTTCTAAAACCAGCTTGAACATCTGGAAGTTCACAATTCACATATTGCTGAAGCCTGGCTTGGAGAATTTTGAGCATTACTTTACTAGCATGTGAGATGAATGCAATTGCGCAGTAGTTTGAGCATTCTTGGGGCTTGCATTTCTTTGGGAATTTTATATATAGGTGTGCATATTTCAGTCCCAGTCTCCCAGTTTATCCCACCCCTCCCTTGACCCCTGGTAACTACACGTTTCTTTTCTACATCTGTGAGTCTACTTCTGCTCTGTAAGTAAGTTCATTTCTAGTCTTTTTTTTAGGTTCCAGATAAGTGATATCATACAGTATTTGTCTGTGTCTGTGTCTGTGTCTTATTTAATATGACAATCTCTAGGTCCATTCATGTTGCTGCAAATGGCATTATACTGTTCTTTTTTATGGCTGAGTAATATTCTATTGTATATATGTACATCTTCTTTATTCATTCCCCTGTAAATGGACATTTAGTTTGCCTCCATGTTCTTGCTACTGAAAGTTGGGATGCATGTATCTTTTCGTTTTTAGTAATACAATTTTTTTTTAAATTTGCAAGTCCTTTTATTCTTCATTATTTGGCTGCACCTGGTCTCAGTTGCAGCATGTGAGATCTAGTTCCCTGACCAGGACTAGAACCCAGGCTCCCTGCATTGGAAGCATGGAGTCCTAGCCACTGGACACCCAGGAAAATCCCTGTTTTTAATAATATAATTTAATTGCAGGTTTTTCTCATTTACCCTCCTGTTTTTCTTACAAGTAATCTGTTGAAGAACCAGGGATACTTGACCTGAGTAACTTTCCCTGGTCTGGATTTCACTGATTGCATCCTCATGATACAGTTCAACATGTCCCACTGTCCCTGTCCTCCATATTTCCTTCAAATTGACACCTGGCTCCAGAGGATTGACTAGACTCATGTATGATGCCTTTGGTAGGACTAGCTGATGGTTGGAGTAGGCTTCTTCATCTGAAAGTATGCAATTTCTGTTTATGCCATTGACAGGCATTAATACTAAGTGTCTAGATCCATAATTCACAGATGGTTGCAAAATGTTGAAATTCTAATTTACCATGTTATGAGCTGAATGTTTGTGTCCCCCTGCCAAAAATTTGTATGTTCAAACCCTGTTGCTCAATGTGATAGTATTAGAAGGTTGGGTCTTTGGGATGTAATTAGGATTAGATGCAGTCATAAGGGTAAAGCCCTCATGAATGGAACTACAAGAGGGTTTGTTTCCTGTCCCTGCTCTTCCCACTACATAATACACCGAGAAGTCAACTCTCTGCAATCCAGAAGGGCCTTCACCAAAACCTGACTCTGCTGCACCCTGATCTGACTTCCAGCCTCCAGAACTGTGGGAAATAAATGTTTGTTGTTTCAACCACTCAGTCTAAGGTAATTGGTAATAGCAGTCCCAACTAAGATACCATTTCTTTTTCATTTGTCAGAGGGAATAGGAATACTTTCATGAGAGATGTTTTCCCTCATTTACTATTTATTCACCTAGGAGTAAAGACATAAATAAGGATAAATTCTTGATTCTTTCATTTTATTTACCAGTTTTCAAGATAATGGGTTGGTTTGCTATCATTCCCCGAAAGTGACCAATTAGGTTATTAGGTTGTGTGTGTGTATATATAATGATATCTTTGAATCCCATCAAATATGGGCACCATCAAATATTCAGTCTACTGCAATTATTCTTATTGAAGTTCAGATTGTTCCATTTTTAGTCAATGGGAACTTCTTCAAATCAACTTCTTTTCTACCTGAAATAGCAAGAAGTTCAAGGCTCATTTTGTACATTTCCTGCCCCAGACCTGGAATCAGCCATTTCTCCAAGACACACTGCTTTCTCTTAGTGGGAAAAGGTATTTCAAAATTGCAATCTAGAGACTAGGGATGTTCCTCAACACTGGGCTAGCCATTGTTTGTACAATTTACTTAACTAATACTTATGTAATGCTGTTCTGTGCCAGGCATTGCTCTAAGATTTTGCAAAGGTTTATGCTTCATAATAAACCTACAGTTATCCTCATCTATAAGGATAATAGTGAGGTAAACTTGAGGTACAGAGAAACTAAGTTTAAGGTCATATAGCTAGTAAGTGACAGGGCCAAGATTAGAACCCAGAGTCTGAGCCTTTACCCATCATGATGTGCTTCCTCTCATTTGACCTGTTTTTGGTCATATGCCTACCCCCAGGCCAGGGGACAACAAAAAAACCTTGACTAACAGACCCACTGAGACAACCCCTTCTCCCCCCGCCAAAAGACATAAAGGTGCTGTTACCAGAAGAAACAGGAATGAATCCGAGGAGGAAAAGAAAACAGTCCAATATATCAGTTTGGAAAAAAAAAAAAAACCACTCTGATTCAAGAGCCCATTTTTTATTATAGGCATTTTGATAATTACACTTTGAAGAATTACATAAAATATATAATGCAGAACTAGAATCTGTTACAAAAGATTGGGTAAATCAGGGTTTCATTACAATTAAGACCAAGTAGTCAAAAAAAGAGATTAACCCCTAACAATCAATCCCTAAAGTCACAGGAATGAACACAAACAAACACCAAGTTTAATGTGACACAAACTGGGTATTCAGCAAATGGAGATTTTTCTTGTTAGTTATTCAACGTTTTGCCCTGAGAAGGCTCAGGGCCATTAGCATGAGAATGATTTGGTCCATCCTCCTCTTCCAAAGCTATAATATCTGGAATTTCATCAGTCTCAGATGTCAAGTCTGTGATACTGAAATCAAGTGCCTGTAAAAAAAGAATCTTGGATATTAAACCAAACGAGAAGAAAGAAATGAGCTGTCAATTCCAGGTGAGCTCTTAGAAACACAAATTAATACATGAACTTTACTTTCTCGATAACTATGCTTTCTTCAAGATAAGTTTATAGTCTTATCCCACAATTCATTCATATATAACTAAGAAACGTCTCTTTAAAAGGAAACCAACTAGTGGTAGAACATATGAAATAAAAGTTTTTGAAATTACAAGCTATAAAGCATTTCTGGCTATTCATCTTTCTATTATTCTCTTAAAAACAATAATATTCCACTTTACCATATTCTGATTTCCAATACTATAAACAGTTTGGAAAATGTCTAGGAACTGAGGAAGCAAAAGGTCTTTGAACAGTTTAAATAGCTATCACAAAGCCCTAGCTCTTGTCTGCATAGAGAAGGCTTTTAGGGATAAGAAGTTCGATTAACTCTTACTTTACATACAATTATGATAAGCAAAGTAATATTTCTTAACTAACAGATGACTAGAAGCAGAAAAGGTATAGTAAGTTCAGTTCAGTCGCTCAGTCGTGTCCGACTCTTTGCGACCCCATGAATCGCAGCACGCCAGGCCTCCCTGTCCATCACCAACTCCCAGGGTTTACTCAAACTCATGCCCATCGAGACGTTGGTGCCATCCAGCCATCTCATCCTCTGTCTGAAGGCTAAATCTTGAGAGCAGAGGAAAAAAACTAGCTGACTACCTAATGGAGACAAAATAACTACCAATAACAACAAAAAACCATCAAAAAACAGATGGAAGGGAGAATGAGGAGTTATTGCCTAAGGGTACAACGTTTATGCTTGGGATAATGATATAGTTCTGAAAATGGGTAGTGGTGATGGCTGTAGAACACTGCAAATGTACTCAATACCAATGAACTGTACACTTAAGAATGGCTAAAATGGTAAACTTGATGGTATGTATGCATGTGTGCTAAGTCACTACAGTTGTGTCCAACTCCATGCAAACCAATAGACCCTTTAGCCCACCAGGCTCCTCTGTCCATGGAATTCTGCAGGCAAGAATACTGGAGTGGGTTGCCATGCCCTCTTCCAGGGGATCTTCCTGACCCAGCAATTGAATTCAAGTCTCTTAGGTCTCATGCATTGGCGGGCAGTTTCTTTACTGCTAGCACCACCTGGGAAGCCCTATGTTATATATATATTTTGCCACAGTATTTTTTAAAATAGTTTTTAAAAATACATGAAGAGAGAATCTTTTTATTGGGTCTCTTACCTGGCTATCTGTGGCCCTTACTACACTTTTCCCTAAAAACCCAGGTGCTCAGACGACAGTCCAGACTGAGGTAAAAAGACTTCCACTATTTATTCCTGAGGCTATTTGGGGAAATCAAACTACATTCCAGATCTTCATGAATTTTCACTTCGCAAAGATTATACCCAACCTGACTGACATCCACAAAAGCCAACAACACTGATACACTGATGATGATGATGACTGATAAATTGATGTGGGGCATCAGCCAGGCAGGTCAACGATTGCAATTTTATTCTTTTTAGGTTAAAAGATGTACCTTGCTCAGCTCTCTCTTCCGATCTATTTCTATTAAATGTATATTTTAATATCCACTATCAGTATTTTTAATAAATGTAGAATAGAACAGGAAGCTACAACACAAGAAAATAGAGAGGGATTTGAGTCCTAAGCAAGCAGGAGTTTTCTCCTATCAGAGACTAGATTGCTAGAATAGAAAAAACAAGCACTTTGACATCAGTAACACATTCGACTAAATCCCTACTCTGCCACTTGTCTCTTTTTCAACCTCAGTTTTCTCACCTGTCAAGTGAGGAAAATTCCTAATTGATTGTGTTGCCAAGTGAGGAGTAAAGATAGTATGGGCCTAGCTTGTAAAAGGTACTCAATAAATAGTAGCTTTAATTCTCTTTAGTTTCTTAAATACCACCCTGTCACACATATAAACCTCCAAAGTCACCCACAGATCAGGAACTACTGGCCTAAGGTAGAGTTCTTTGCAGAAGACTGGAGATTCCACACTTGTAGGTTAGGAAAAAAGCCTCCACCACCACCAAAAAGGGGGCTCTAGTCCGTGAGATGTTCTGGAAGAACCATATGAATAATCCACCTTCCATATATCCAGAATGAGTCAGAGTGGTTAATTTTCATTATTCTCGACCATCACCAAAACCTATTTGGCAGGCTTGGGAAAGAAAAGGGTGGGGCAGTTAAGAGGGAGCCATAGTCTATCAAGTTTATTCAGTGAGTTTAATTAAAATGAAGTGGTTGGGACTGCCTGGTGGTCCAGTGGCTAAGACACTGTGCTTCCACTGCAAGGGACTCAGGTTTGATCCCACATGACACATGGAGTGGCCAAAAATTTTTTTTAATTAAAAGAATGTAGTGATTGTGCTTGACCATCTTCATAGGGTTTTTATAAATGTGGAACAAGAGAAATCACTTTGCAGATTTATAAAATAAATTCCTTTTCACTGACATAAAAAACTATAGTTTGGAAGAAGGAGTATGAGGAGACTCTTGCCCATCAGGCATTCTGAGGCCAAACTCAGAATAACACGCTTACTATGAAACAAATGAGAGAATAACAGTCTCTCCCTGCAAAGACATTCAAGAAAACCAAGTGACCATGCCAGGGTTCCAGGGAGTTACATCATTTTTGCAGGTTGGTGGGCTTCCCCGGTGGCTCAGAGGTTAAAGCGTCTGCCTGCGGGAGACCCGGGTTCGATCCTGGGGTCTGGAAGATCCCCTGGAGAAGGAAATGGCAACCCACTCCAGTATTCTTGCCTGGAGAATCCCATGGACGGAGGAGCCTGATGGGCTACAACCCACGGGGTCGCAAAGAGTCGGAAACAACTGAGCGACTTCACTATCACTATCACCATACAACCATAAGAGGGCACCATTCATTCATAAACCTGCTTGATTTCTGAATTTACAATGATAATTTTCCAGAAGGTGGCACTGTAGGTGGGGCTACTACAGAAATAAAAACAGCATCTGGGGGAATTTTACTTAGTGGTAAACGTGTATGTACATGCAGTGCTCATAAACATGACACAGAGTCAGGAAAACAGACTGATTTTGAACTAGAAAATAATCGTGGCTCAGATGTAGAGTCTCCCTGCAATGCAGGAGACCCAGGTTCGATCCCTGGGTAGGGAAGTTCCCCTGAAGAAGGAAACCCACTCCAGTATTCTTGTCTGGAGAATTCCATGGATGGAAGAGCCTGGTGGGCTACAGTCCATGGGTTGCAATGAGTCGGACACAACTGAGTGACTAACACACATGCCTATGTTTCCGTGACATCAGTCTTAGTATTACTTTCTTTGATCTGTCTCTTTAGGCAAGGACAACAAAAGCAAAAGTAAACACATGGGACCAAATCAAACTAAAAAAGCTTTTGCATAGTGAAGGAAACTTTCAACAAAATTAAAAAGCAACCTGTTGAATGGGAGAAGATACTGGGTTGGCCAAAATGTTCATTTGGTTTTTCTGTAACATCTAGGCTTAGTCAGTTTTTTTCCCTCAAAATATTTGCCCTCCTTGGGGAAAAGTCTGTTAAACTAAAACTGCTAGTTTATCCAACAATAAAGCAAGGAAACCATGCGTTTTGAGACATGTAGACAACCAAGAGACATGCATGTATGCACAAACTTGAGACACAGACAGATAAAACCATGACTCATGGTAAAAGCAGGGTGTGCTCATGGTAAAAGCAGTCAGGGGTATTCTTCCAGAAGCTAAGAGAAGTCTGCTTTATATTCTGTCTTGCTCACTTAGAACAGCTTTGAGATCTGTCTCCTTTTCATAAGCAATTCAGTAGGTACTATTACTCTTAGGAACAGGAAACAGCAAGTTTATGTTCCGTATAAGGAAGTCTGTGTACAGCTGTAGTATGTGAACTTTCTAACCAATCACAATCAGCCATAAAATACCACCCTTGAAGTTCCGAGGCAAATGACAGCAGGGTCCTGTCCAATTTGGACTAAAAAAGAAAAAAATTTTAAGAGGTAGTCTCTAGAAAAGCCACTCACTAGGGACGGGCAGGCAAAGGCATGGATTGGCTCCACCCTGGAAGCCCATCAATCATGACAGTCCACTTTTCCAGAAACCAGAAGCTCCTTCACTTCAAGTATCTCAGGGAGTCCCTCTAACTGAGCTCACGTCTACTGACTCCTGGAGTTACCTCAAGGGGGAAAAAATTAGCTCTCTGATTTAGTAAGGTTTGATAGCTCATTCACGTAAGTGCATGTAAAGTTGTATGCTGCTTCCTTGTTTTCATGGGGAGACAGGGGCGAAGCAGGGTAGAAAAAGGAGACAAATTTGACTTAGACTTCAGTTCTGCTGAAGGGCAGGTCAGGCCTTCAGTATTTAGCTCTATTTCAAAGTTCTAAGATTGGCTTTTTTTGAAAAGGTTTGGCATACTGCAGCTTTGTTATGCTGCTGCTAAGTCGCTTCAGTCGTGTCCAACTCTGTGCGACCCCATAGACGGCAGCCCACCAGGCTCCCCCGTCCCTGGGATTCTCCAGGCAAGAACCCTGGAGTGGGTTGCCATTTCCTTCTCCAGTGCATGAAAGTGAAAAGTGAAAGTGAAGTCGGTCATTCGTGTCCGACTCTTAGCAACCCCATGGACTGCAGCCCACCAGGCTCCTCCGTCCATGGGATTTTCCAGGCAAGAGTGCTGGAGTGGGCTTTGTTATGAGGAGGTCCATATTCCCTACATAATCAACCCATGCTAAGGGGATCAGAAGCCTGAACACCGTAGGCAGGAGGTAGTAGCAACTCCTTTCTACAGGGGATCCAAAGTCTTTTTTCTTTTTTATCCCCCGAATTATCTTCATGCGGTCTTCTAAAGGTACCTCACCCACCACTGAGGTTAGTGCCTCTCTACCAAAGTGACAACATGGTACATTAAGTCCAGCTGGGACTGGATACTGAACAATCTCATTCCTTACATGTGAGATGGCCCCTTAGCAAGAAATGCTGCTACTTTTACACGAGACTGATGCAACAGTCACTCATGTGCTTCCTCTCAGCTGATTTCTCCTCAGCAAGGCAGTCAGGTACTTATGTACCTCCTTCTACTGGTTTAAGAACGCGCTTTCAGGGGTCCAGTAAACAGTCAAATGAAAGGAACCACCACCACCCCCTGATACCATTCTTAAAGGAACATTAGCTTTTGTTATCAAACATTCCATTTTTAACATTAGTCTTCCAATGTCTGTACAAACGGCCCCCTGCCCCCAGGCCATTTGAATTCATATGTATTAAAAACCCTGTCAAGGAGGCGAAGCAGTTCCGAGAAAGCCACACAAAAAGCACATGTAACACATAGCATAAAACTGATCTATTCTGCAGTGAGTTTTATTGAATTCAAAGGAGGCACTCCTTTATGAAAAAATAAAAAAACCCAGGGTACACAAGCATGCATTGTGAGACAAACCAGAGTTGAGGCCTGCTCAGAGCAGACCCCAGTTCATACAACAGCCTACATGAAGGTGTTTTTATTCAGTACAAACAGCAACAGTAGCAAAAGAATGAGGCCATAAAACGCCCTGAAACACGTGCGAGTTCTGGACAGGCTGTGACCACTCTATTATTCTTTTCTTTCCAGCCAGGCAAGTAACAGAACTTATGCACTAATGCAGAAACTTTATAGCTCTTACGTCAGCTGGAAATGACTGAAGTTGAGACCTTTTTGCCTCATTAGCTGCCTGCCTACTTTGGAGCCGTCTAGCTCAAGAGGAGCTGTCCTCTGGCTGGCTGCCCTGTGCATTGCTGGCAGGGACGGGTTTAGGGTGTTTTGTACTCCGCCTGCCAGGCCTCCTGGCTGTACCTGGGGCCTGAGCACTCTCAGACTCGGTCACCTGGGGATAAAAGGGACCTACCAGCCAGTTGAGGGGTGTGTTGTTAACAAGATAATCCATCACATCATCTAAAGACTCCTTCATTTTCTGCAGCTGCCCCTTGCTGGAAGCAAGGAGGCCATCAGACACTTCTTTAAAGGAGGCAGCATTGCGAAACACAGCATAGATGTCACCAGCCATCACCCCCAAGTGCTTGGCCCGATCTTGAATGTTCTGTGGTAACCCCTGGATGTTGGACAGGAGGGTGTGGCACGTGGTCTGGAGCTGCTGAGTCAGGTTCCGGGCAATAGCAAGAGTACGTGACTCAATGTGCTGAAAGTAAGACAAGTTTAAGAATGAGCAGTGGATTCAACAGTGGTATGTGTGACTTGGTCCACGTACATTCGGCTGGGATATGTCCACCCACACATGTGGATTCTTTAACTTTTTAAAATTCTCACAACATCCCTGAGCACGGCAGTTATTATCTCACATTTCATAGGCAGAACATAGGGATTCCAGGGTAGCTCAACTGATAAAGAATCTGCCTGCAATGCAGGAGACCCTGGTTCGATTCCTGGGTGGGGAAGTTCCCCCGGAGAAGGGATAGGCTACCCACTCCAGTATTCTTGGGCTTCCCTTGCGGCTCAGATGGTAAAGAATCCGCCTGCAATGCAGGAGACATGGGTTCAATCCCTGGGTTGGAAAGATCCCCTGGAGGAGGGCATGGCAACACAGTCCAGTATTCTTGCCTGGAGAATCCCCATGGACAGAGGAGCCTGGTGGGCTATAGTCCATGGGTCGCAGAGTTGGACTCGACTGAGTGACTAGGTACAGCACAGGTAGAACATAAGCTATGCCCCAGATAACAGCTGGAAAATGGCTGAGTTGGGATTTGAACTAGTGCCTGAGTCTTCGAAGTTCATGATCTTAAGCAGAAGAAACATAACAGGGGAGACCGGACAGAAAGAAAATACTCTCCATATTAGTAGGGCAACTGGGATGTTCTTTCTTCAAGTGAGATATGATATAAACAAATGACTAATGTTACTTTCAAGGGCAAGTGTATATTAGCTTCTGGAAGATAAAGAACTGTTTTCTAGGACTACAATATGATATTTCTTCTGTCTGGAACACTCACTCCTTTAATGCCCTTTCACCTAGTTTATTCACCCCTTAGGTCTCAATTGACCAACTCATCTCTTCCAGCAAACCATCTGACTCACCCATCCTCACTCCAAGGTTGAGTTAGTACCCTTCCTAAAAAGCATTCTCACAGCAACTCTATTTATACTATCAAAACACCCCACTATGGCAGTAAAGATACCTGTGTTCACTTAGCTTGTACCTTTCATGAGGGAAATGCCTGTTCCTCAGGTAGCTGTGTCCTGACTGGGGCAATATACCTGCCGGTAAGTTGTTAAAGTTACTGCACAGTTTTGCTTCTATCATATAACAAGCAACTTATGTACCCTATATTGTTCAACTTTTGTTAGAGAAGAATATTCTAAGAGGAATACTAAGAACACTGCGATGCCTGGTAGGAATTTCTATACAATCTGTAGTAGATGACCCTGTCCCAGTTGTCTCACCTCAGCACAGTGCGATTCATCTGTATCATCGTAGCCGATGCTTCTCTTCCACTCCAGCCAGGACAGATAGAGCTTATCCTGAGCATCCTGAATTTTCTGGTTGGCATTATGCACATTCTTCCTGGCAAGTTCAATCTAGAACATGTTGGAAGAAGACAAAGAACAAACTATTAACAGATATTCATATTAGCCTGTTCTCAGGTCTGTGATGTAAACCAGCCATCATCAATTCTTACAGAGAGTCTTGGTATTTAAGGAGATATCTCTGATAGCCTACCAGAGATAGCATTGTTCTGTTTTTCCCTGTGTTAGTTGCTCAATCGTGTCGGACTATTTGAGACCCTGTGAACCACAGCCTGCTGGGTTCCTCTGTCCATGGGATTCTCCAGGCAAAAATACTGGAGTGGGTTGCCATTCCCTCCTCCAGGGGATCTTCCCAACCCAGGGATTGAACCTGCGTCTCCTGTACTGCAAACAGATTCTTTACCATCTAGGCCACCAGGGAACCCTAACAGCATTGTTACTTGTTATCAATATGTGTAAGTCAGCCAAGCAGTCATAGGACGTTACTGCCTCTTATTTATTAAACCACTATCTCCAATTTCCCTCCAGTTTAACACAGGTACAGCAACTGAAATTTAACGTGTGTATAAAATTATAAAAGAGAAAGGAACTTAAACTTCCTCTTCCCTGTTGCCAGCCACCTACTTCCCCTTCCAAGAGTAAACTGGTCTCTAATGGCTGAACACTGCATACTGTTCTGTAACTTGGCAATCCTTCAAGGTGACTCAGTAGTCTTTTGTGATGTATCAATGTCATCAGTCTATTAGTTGATGTGCATTGTTTACACTCTTTTGCAACTCTGAATGAATATACATTTCTAGAAGAAAAGCTGCTCCAGGCATAGGGGTGTCTCTAAGTTTCCTATTTCCCTTGAATCCTCTAAAAGTGCAAAAACACAAGTATATCTCTCCTCTACACCATCGCCCACAGAATCTAGCTTTGCAAATGCCACCAGACAGGAAAGGAAATCAGTAATCTGACCACTCAGAGTAAAATTAACACCGCTTCATGTATTCAGCTAATTATATACTTCCTTTTCTGTGAGTTTTCTATATACTCTTGGCCCATTTTTCTACTGGATTGTTCATAAGATTAAAATTCTTGGATTTTATGATTACGTTTATCCTAATCCTGGAGATCAATGAACTCAATTCAGCTGCCTTTAAATGAAGTTGTACTCACCAGGTTGACAGTGGAATGGAGCTGAGAAATGGTCTCCTGGCCTTTTTGCTTAGCTTCTTCAACCCTGCAGAGGGCCTGCTGGTAGGCCCGTGAGCGCAGCTTGGTGGACAGTGATCCCAGTCTAACATAGTAACTTGGCTTCTGAACCGTATCGAATCCTTCCACTTTTTTGGCTTCTTTTTCTGAAGTTATAAAGAAGGGGGGAAAAAAAAAGAAGTCTTAGGGATCACAGCTCTAAGTGCTCTAAGTGACAAGGCCTAAACTCTTAACTTGGATCTCGTCGTTGTTGATTCCACCCACCCATCTGGTGATTATGCACTCCTTTGCCCAAGATGGCTCCTATCTACTGTTGGGCTTGGCAACCCAGAACACATCACTGTGACACGTCATCTACACAGGTCTCTTCCCATCAGCGTTTGTTACCTGGCACACAGTAAGCACTGAATATTTAATAATCCCATACAGTAGCCTACAAAGGGCAATCCATTTGTAGAAAGTATTTCTTTAGGTTAATTTCTCTGGAAAGTTTCAAAACTTACTATGTACAAAAGAATCTGCCTGCAATGCAGGAGACCTGGGTTTGATCCCTGGGTTGAGAAGATCCCTTGGAGAAGGGAAGGGCAACCCACTCCAGTATTCTTGCCTAGAGAATCCCATCATCAGAGAAGCCTAATGGGCTACAGTCCATGGGGTCACAAAGCATTGGACACAACACATGCAGACAGGGGGTGGGATGGGGGAATGGAGACTGACTGTCAACAGGCATGAAAGATCATGAGCTTTACTCTTTGGGGGTGACAGAACTTTTATCTTTGGGGTGACAAAAATATTCTACAACTGGATTGTGCTGAGGCTCATGCAACCAAAAACGTAGAAGGAAAACAGGTGAATTTTTTTGGTATATAAAAGTATATCTCAAGGAAGCTATTTATAAAAACTGCTTAAAGATATAAAACACAGGAAGAAGTTCCTTGGTGGCCTAGTAGTTAGGGTTCTGGACTTTCACTGCCATGGTCCGGGTTTGATTCTTGGTCAGAGAACTGAAATCCCATAAACTGCATGGCATGGCAAAAAAGGAAAGATACAAAACATTATTTCAAGGCAAAAATCCAATTACCTAGTTCATCCTTGGTAAGAGGAAGGTACTGGTCTACCAGCAGCTCCGATTTGGTGAGTGCATTTTCCATTCCACTGCTCATCAGCTGCATCACCCGACTTCCCAGGACTGTGTGAATGCTGCCATTGACCATGGACTTGGTCTTCTCCACACTACCAGTCACAGCTCCCTTGGTCCTGTCCACCACCCCAGTGATTGTGCTGGCCACAGAATCCCTGGCCCCAGTCACAGTAGTCGTCACAGCATCTCTTGCCCCCGTCACAGCCCCTTTGGCATTGGCCACAACCTATGGGGAAAAAAAGCAGGTCATCTGGCTGGTGAGAAACATGGGCATAGACACTTAAATAAAGGTCTTAACTAAGGCAGCACAGTTGAAGAGTTAAAGGATGAATCTGGCCCTTTTACTTTCTAGTCATGGGTCTTGGACAAGTATATGAGAGTTGATGAGCCTCAATTTCCTTAACAGGTATAAACGCCCTACCTGCCACCACTCAAAGGTTGTCGGAAGACCAAAAGAGGGAAATGGATAAAAAATTTGTCAAAGTTTTTTCTTTCTTTGTTTTAAACTAGATGTACCTGCAACGAGGCACAAGTGGGACTCTATAGAGAAAAACGGCATTTTCCATTGACATGCTTCTACTGAGCACCTCATACAAGCCTGTAAGCACAGACACAGGTACCCATGCACGCTACCCCAGGCTGACACACAGGCAGATGTACCAGCTCTCCACTCTACTGGCTGTGCTCTCAGACACCGAGCAAGAAAAGGTTCTATTCACCACCTCTGCATTTATCCAATACCACATAGGACTAGGTGATTTAACAAAGCAATTTCACCTGCAGAGATGAAGCCACACATTTAACCGAGATCAGACTAAAGTCTGGCCCAAAGGTGGATAGCTCGTCTCTGCTTCCCAAGACAACCTAACAACAGTTCAGGAAGTAAGAGAGTGGTCATTACTCTTTCAAAAATATATCCAAGGTTGGAACAAATAAGTACTGCCTGTTTGTGACCTGCAACAGTCTGTATGAAACAGATAAAACTTAAAAAATGTGAGGTGGCAAACCTCAGCACTCTTGTCCCAAGCTCACCTGGTTTGTTGGCTGATTCAGAATAGGCAGCTTCTCCTCAATCCTGTCTAGCCCCTTACAGGCATAGGTATTGGCAACAGCAACTAGAAGAATCACAAATGGTGAAAATGTCAAGTCTGTTAAGAGTGAACACGTAACTTGAACCTTTATTCTTACTATGGAAAAACAGCAAAAAATATTTAATTTACCACACCATGCTTTATCTGGTTTCTCTAGTTCAGAAGGGAGATCCTTGCCAGGTTTCCAGCAGCTTCCTTCTACTGACAGGGAAATAAGGATGTGTATGTGTGGGGTGGGGGAGCAGCAAGCTGAGGCAGTGACAAGCCAAGATGGCCAGGAAGCCTCTTCCTCATCAGTTGTCCCCTAAGGTTAAGAGAAGCCAGGCTTCACCAGAATCCTCATTCAAGGAATGAGGTATCTGAAAACCCTCAAAATTTGCATTTCCATGCTTGTCTAATCTCTGCTGCTGCCAAGTCGCTTCAGTTGTGTCTGACTCTGTGCGACCCCATAGACGGCAGCCCACCAGGCTCTACCGTCCCTGGGATTCTCCAGGCAAGAATACTGGAGTGGGTTGCCATTTCCTTCTCCAAGTCTAATCTCTACCTACACTTAATTCAGTAGGTGACAATATATTTGGGGTTATCACCAGGAAACAGTGTGCTAACAGGACCCTGGATCTCCCTAACAAGACCCAGATTTTAGTCCAAGCTCCCCCACCAACTCCCAACATTTGGGGAGTAGCAGAGTTGGAAAGCTGATTTCTAAAAGGCTCCCCATAATCCTGAAAGTCCATGATGTAATAATTTGAGAGAATGATTTAATCCCTTATTCCAAAGCAGATAATAATGTGGAGAAACTGAAAATTCCACTCCTAGGTATATATATGAAAGAACATATGTCCACACAAAAACATGTACAAGTGTTCGCATTAGCATTCATTGTTCATGACAGGCAAAAGTTAGAAGCAACCCAAACATCAACTGATGCATGAAAATGACATACCCACACAAGAGAATATTAAATTATTCCATATCAAAAAGAAATGAAATACTGAGATGATGCTACAATTTGGATGAAATCTGGAAACATTATGCTAAGTGAAAACTAGCCAGTCACAAAAGACCACATGTTTTATGATTCCATTTATATTACATGCCCAGGATATGCAAATCTATAAAGAGAAAATAGATTACTAGTTGCCTAAGGTTGGGGAAGGGGGGTGGGGTTTGGTGGAGTGACTGAGAATGAGTATAAGGTTTCTCCTTAAAAAAAAAAAATATGGTAAAATATACAAAACAAACGTCACAATTTTAACTATGTTTAGGTGTACAATTCGCTGGGACTCACAATACTGTTCATTCAGAATATTGTGCAACCATTACCATTCTCATTTCCAGGACTTCTTCCTCATTCCAAACAGAAAGTGGTATGAGGTTTCTTTCTGGAGAGTTGACAATGTTCTACAATTGATCATGGTGATGCCTAAACAACACTGCGAATATACTAAAAGCCACTGAAAGGTACACTTTAAGTGGGCTATTTGTATACTGATTTCTTTTAAAAGCAGTTCATGTATACTGTGTAGTCCCAAGGAAGTCAGTTATTTCAGTTTACTCACTGATTCCCCGTTTGACCTCACTTGCCAACACAGAAACATCTCTGGGGAATTTTCTTTTTAATACCATATTTGCCATTGCTCTGAAGCAGGCCTTCTATAACAATGAGCAGCACTTGGCAGTTCTCAGAAAAAGCAGTATGTGTCTCAGGAAAGGCTGAGGATTCCCTGACTGATGAAAGCTCAGGGTGTAAGGCTAGCCTTCATTATTCAAACCAGCTTTGGGCTCACTCGCCATGACTATATGGGACTAGATTTTGAGGCCAAAATGAAAACTCACTTTGTGGCTCTAGCTTTTGGATGATTGGCAGCGCGCTGGTCACAGCCACAGAAGTGATGGTCTTCATGCCCTTCTCTGCCATCTCACACAGAGACTTCAAGTAAGGATACTGATCCTTTGTACTGATGTAAGCCGACGAGACCAAATCACACGTGGAGCTCACCAAGGGGAGGCTGGCCACCCTGGTCACCACACTCTGCAATCAACAGGGAGGGAGGAGTTAACTTCTACAAAGCAGGACGGTGGGGAAAGGAATCAAGAATCGGCTATTTATAAATCATACCAGTTGTGGTTCAACTGAAACAGATGCCATCTTTCTTGCTGGAGAAAGAAGAAATCTGCAGAAGAGAAGCTTATTTCAGAACACTGTGATAAGATCCCCAGATTAATTCTCCAACCCCAGGTTTCAAGTGAGCAAAATTCAAGGTACAGTCAGTGGAGTCTGCATTGCTCCCACCTCCTGGCTCTCAGAGGTCTCCCCTGGGCAAACAAGTCCTGAAAGAAGGCTTCAGAGCTCACGGGTACAATATACCAACTTGGAAGTGTTCAATTCAATGCTTTTCCCACCAGGACATTAGAGACGCCTTTTGAAGTAAAAGATCTATCCACAAAAATGCTAACCAGGTAACATCCATGTAAAAATTAGAGAGAGATTTCAAGGAAAAGATATCTTGGGCAGTCAGGCCGATCAAGATGGAGCACTTCGGGGTGGGGGTTGGGGGAGTCAAACTTTTCTTGTCAAAGAACCGAAACTAATTTAGGGGACATTAAGCACAGGCGGTAAGGAGGTGCTCCGACGATCGAGAAACTTTTCAAGGAGTTTTTAAATGTCACTTTAGTGTCCCCAACGACCCACACCTACACAAAACAGCCTCACTGGTAAGCAGCAGGGCTGGGAAGGCAAGAACCCACCCCTTCGGAGCCACTCTGCGGCCGAGGGTCCCAATTTTACAAGAAACGAGAACCACGCCGAAGGCGGAAACCAGGCGCCACTTATCAATAACAGCCCGTCTGCGTACCCCACAAAATTCTGCTTTAAGACGATTTTCTCACGCGTTTCCTTTTAACTAACGTCCTTTGGGGTCGACTGGAAACTGCTAGCCCCAACCCAACCAAGAAGCTACAAACGCACTAAGGCAGCGAGCAGAAAAGCAACCCTCGATCAAGGAACAAAAGCGAGGGTGCAAACACAGGCCCCAGACACCGCCCCTTCCCAGCCGGGGCCCCGAAACCGCCGCGAGGCCACGAGCGTCCGGCCCGAAGCCCGCGTGGGCCGAGCCACAGGGGCCGCTGAGGATCGCGCACCCACCCGCAAGCAGATACCAGAGGGCGAGGATCCGGCGAGTCTGTGCGGCGTTCACAGCTCACCGCCCGGCGCGCCGGAATATATACCCGCCCCGCCCCCGTGCCACGTGACCCCCGGCCCTCGGCCGGGGCGTGGGGGGCGGCCCTGCAAGGATCAGGAGTGCCGGGGATGCCCGTGCAAAAATGCAGCGGGTGCCCACGCTAGCTTTGTAGTTTTGTAAAAGGAAGTGGGGCCCCGGTGGCTCAGCGGTAAAGAATCCGCCTCTAATTCAGAAGATGCGGGTTCAATCCCTGGGTCGGGAAGATGCCCTGGAGAAGGAAATGGCAACCCACTCCAGTGTTCTTGCCTGGAGAATCCCATGGACAGAGGAGCCTGGCGGGCTACAGTCTATGGTGTCACAAAGAGTTGGACACGACTAAACGACTCAGCCACCAAAAGGCAGCGGAGGAGTTGCCGCGAGGGACTCACCGTAACTAACCTGTTGATTTCCACCAGTTCTGGGAATAGAATGTCTTTAAAAATGGAAACAATGGCGTTAGGACTGCTACTTATAGGTAACAAATAACTTCCAACGTTTTGTGAAATTCTAAAGGATGACAGATCTGTTGGGAGGGCTGTTGTGTTGCTCTTTTGACTTTAAAGTCAATTTCTCCAACATCTGTCTAATTTAAAGTTGAATTGGTATTTCCAGAAAGGCCTTGGGAATATACTCTTCCAGCAAGACTAAAACCCTGCGGTCTGATAGGTGCCTAAGTTTACTATGCAAAAGAGCTTTTTGTTTGTTTTTAATTAAAGGATAATTGCTTTACAATATTGGGCTGGTTTTTGCACTACATCAACATGAATCAGCCGTAGGTACACACAAGCCCCATCCCTCTTGAACCTCACTCCCCAAAATGGCTTTTTTTTTTAAGTTGACAGATAAGGGCTCTTTTTTGTTTGTTTTTGTTGTTTTTGTTTGGGGGTATGCAGAGTACATCATAAGAATATCAATAACCTCAATAATCAATAATTTGCTGGGAGAAATATCAATAACCTCAGATATGCAGATGACACCACCCTATGGCAGAAAGTGTAGAGGAACTAAGGAGCCTCTTGATGAAAGTGAAAGAGGAGAGTGAAAAAGTTGGCATAAAGCTCAACATTCAGAAAACTAAGATCATGGCATCCGGTCCCATCACTTCATGGAAAATAGATGGGGAAACAGTGCAAACAGTGGCTGTCTTTATTTTTCTGGGTTCCAAAATCACTGCAGATGGTGATTGCAGCCATGAAATTAAAAGACCCTGACTCCTTGGAAGGAAAGTTATGACCAACCTAGACAGCATATTAAAAAGCAGAGACATTACTTTGCCAACAAAGGTCCGTCTAGTCAAGGCTATGGTTTTTCCAGTGGTCATGTATGGATGTGAGAGTTGGACCGTGAAGAAAGCTGAATGCTGAAGAATTGAACTGTGGTGTTGGAGAAGACTCTTGAGGGTCCCTTGGACTGCAAGGAGATCCAACCAGTCCATCCTAAAGGAGATCAGTCCTGGGTGTTCATTGGAAGGACTGATGCTGAAGCTGAAACTCCAATACTTTGGCCACCTGATATGAAGAGTTGACTCATTGGAAAAGACCCTGATTCTGGGACGGATTGGGGGCAGGAGGAGAAGGGGACGGCAGAGGATGAGATGGTTGGATGGCATCACCGACTCAATGGACATGAGCTTGGGTAAACTCCGGGAGTTGGTGATGGACAGGGAGGCCTGGCGTGCTGCGATTCATGGGGTCGCAGAGAGTCGGACACGACTGAGCGACTGAACTGAACTTGTTTGGGAGAGTACTTTGCCTTGTTTTTTTTTTTAAGAAACAAATCTTCAGCATCTGAGTCCTGGTGTTTTCTTGTGTAAAAAGCAAGAACTTGAATCATGATATGAGTGCGCAACTGCCCCAAGGCGGGTAGGGAGTTGGTTCTCTGGACCTTTCCCAGAGTGAGTGGGCTGGTATCTGATGACATCGCCGGAGGTCTCAGCCTCCCAGCTCTTTCCCAGGGAAGATATAGGAGAAAGGAGAGGTGGGAGGTGCAAGGAAGAGCTGGGGCCAGGTCCTTGGCCTCTGGAATCTAGAGCAAGAGGAGGCAGCTGGTGAGTATGCAGGAGCCTGGAGGCATGCTGTGTTTGTCAAGCTCCAGAGTTTGAACTATGGGAAACACTCAAAGGCATTTACCTTAATTACTTAATTGATGTTGCTGGTACAGAGATACTGTACATATTTAAAGTTCCAAACTGACCCATGGAAAAAATGTATCCCTCATACAGGACTGAGGACATCCAGAGGCCCCCAGCAAGAAAAACTAAATATTGTGTCTTCTTTCCCCTCCTACACACACCAGGTCAAAACAAAATATAGTACTACCATAAAATAACTGTTAGGAAGTCCAAAATTTTTATGTCCCCCTCTTCCCTGCTGTATTGACATTTTCAATGCTTCAGTCAGTTCATTCAGTTCAGTCGCTCAGTCTTGTCCGACTCTTTGCCACCCCATGGACTGCAGCACACCAGGCCTCCCTGTCCATCACCAACTCCTGGAGTTTAGTTAAACTCATGTCCATTGAGTTGGTGATGCCATCCAACCATCTCATCCTCTGTCATCCCCTTCTTCTCCCGCCTTCAATCTTTCCCAGCATCAGAGTCTTTTCAGATGAGTCAGTTCTTCACATCAGGTGGCCAAAGGATTGGAGTTTGAGCTTTAGCATCAGTCCTTCCAGTGAACACCCAGGACTGATTTCCTTTAGGGTGGACTGGTTGGATCTCCTTGCTGTCCAAGGGACTCTCAAGAATCTTCTCCAACACCACAGTTCAAAAGCATCAATTCTTTGGTGCTCCGCTTTCTTAATAGTCCAACTCTCACATCCATACATGACTACTGGAAAAACCATAGCTTTGACCAGACGGACTTTTGTTGGCAAAGTAATGTCTCTGCTTTTTAATATGCTGTCTAGGTTGGTCATAACTTTTCTTCCAAGGAGCAAGCGTCTTTTAATTTCATGGCTGCAGTCACCATCTGCAGTGATTTTGGAGCCCCAAAAATAAAGTCTCTCACTGTTTGCACTGTTTCCCCATCTATTTGTTATGAAGTGACGGGACCGGGTGCTGTGATCTTAGTTTTCTGAATGTTGAGTTTTAAGCCAGCTTTTTCACTCTCTTCTTTCACTGCTTTAAGCACTCAACTTATCTTTTTCTTTTCTTTTTGCTGTTCCATTTTTGTTGGTGCGCTAAGCAGATGCTTAGTGTTCCTCTTGTTAATCTATCCCCATCCTGATGTAAAAACAGCAGAAATCTGTGTGATGACGGTGAGGTGTTTTTTTGTGTTTGTTTTTTAACTTCTCACTAGTCTGAGCTCTTATTTTGCAACAGAAGACTTTTACCCTTTCACCTACATATGCCTCCATCTTTTTTTAAATTTTATTTTTAATTGGAGGATACCTGCTTTACAATATTGTTGGTTTCTGCCATATATCAACATGAATGAGCCATAGATATACATATGTCCCCTCCCTCCCACCTCCTACCCTGTTTGTTTTAAACCTGGGAGTCACTTGCCCTCTTAAAGGATAAGCTTTTCTGTACCTGAGAAGGAGAGGGCTCGAGAGACTAATGTTGGGAGCAAGACTCTTCAAGTTCCCAGAGGATAAAGCACACCAAATTCTGCACCTGCTACTCTTTCATCTTCATGAGTCTGGGAGAACATGGAGCTATGGGCAATAATAACACCCAGGTCCTCTAGGTGATTCTGATAGTCTCTGGAAGTTTGAGAACCTTTGTTTTACAGAAGTGGTTTTCACAGTTGGTCTCAGACTAGTGCATCAGAATTACTTAGTGTGCTTGTTAAATGTTCTGTCACCTACACAAGGCCTACTGAGTTAGGAGCTACAGTGGGGAGGCCCAGGAGTCTATATTTTTAAAAATACTTTTTTTTAGTAACACCACTTTATACTTCACAAAGTGCTTTCATATGTTCCTTAT